ATACTTTTTCCAAATTTGGTCTCATTCGATTCAGAATGGCTTGAAACGTCGAGAAAACATAAAATTAGCGAATCGGATTTTTGGATGAAAACATAAATTTCTCCTTTGGGAAGTTAATAAAGGTGAATTATAATTATGATTTATTATAACTCATGATAAGTTAGTGCATTTGTATTTTATCTATTTTGTTATCAAACAAGTACTTCGGTCACACTATAATATAACTAATATTATGGATAGCTTCCTTAACTTAATTGCGTGCTGACATCAGCAATAATTTAACTATGTTGATGATATAGTTCAGGGCAGTAAATAACATTAAATTGATTGAAAATCACAAATAAAAAATGGTTTCATTCACAAACAGACTAAAAAATAATTTCTAGATTTTAATAATAATTTGATTAAGAAAAATTGTAGTTAATAGTAAAGAAATATAGAACTCTAAGGATGTGTCATCTGACACTACGGCTAAGACAAGTTCCTTTATATTAAACAAAAAAAAGTTTTGTGAGACATATGTTTTCCAAATGTATTTTTTACTGCTGAATATCAATCAAAAGTCGAAATTGGGACTAAAACTGCAAAAAATGGAAAACAATAAAGGAAAAGATAAAATCTTCGAACTAATAATTTCTATGCCATATTGATAACAATATTATCCACAAATATTTATATATATATATATATATATATATATATATATATTTTCATATAGATCATATTTTCATATAGATCATATTTAGAAAAGCTAAATATATATATTACCCTAAATCTCTGCTCTTGAGTAGGTGTAATTACGCCTGGATCACCTCTCCAGGACTTCAAAAAGCATATCCATAATAATCCTGAGCATGCAAAGATATTACAGTAGTCCACCCACTGACCACTGGAGATACGTAACTATGATAAAAAATAAAAATAAAATTTATACTACATAACATAACATTTTAAAAATTGCATAAATTAATAGCTTTAAAAATAATCTACAAAAATATTTATTCAATATTTAACTTAATTATTTTGCCTTCAATAAATAAAATCAGTCTAAAATATAGGGTGCGTTCGACTTGGACGCTTACGCGCTGTGAGCGCGCCGTGAGCGCGCTTTCATCGTTCGACTTGGCGCTATGAGTGTCACATAAGCACGCTCGTAGCATCATCGTAGGATGCTCGTAGCACATATTTCGCGCTCACATACGCTCACGCCACAGAGGTAGGGCAGCATGAGCGTGAGCATCAGTTGTTTTTACTATCTGTCATTTCATTTATTTATTAATTGTCAAATTCTTTATAATTCGCAAAAAATGGCAAGCTGTAAATCACAATTATTTTTTATATTAATATTGATATTAATTAATTTTAAATTCAATTAATTTTAAATATTTTAAATTTTAATTTTAATATTACTATTAATTAAGCATAAGCTAACCAATTCATTATTTATTAATTGTTAATTATTTATAATCCGCAAAAATGCCAAGTTGTATATCACATTTATTTTTTAATATTAATATTAATATTAATTTTAAATCAATTAATTTTAAATAATTTTAAATTTAATTTTAATATTACTATTAATTAAGCATAAGTTAACCAAATTTCATTTATTTATTAATTGTTAATTCTTTATAATCCCGCAAAAATGCCAAGTTGTATATCACAATTATTTTTTAATATTAATATTAATATTAATTAATTTTAAATTTAATTAATTTTAAATAATTTTAATTTTAATATTACTATCAATTAAGCATAAGCTAACAAAATTTCATTTATTCATTTATTGTTAAATTCTTTATAATCTCGCAAAAATGCCAAGTTGTATAACACAATTATTTTTTAATATTAATATTAATATTAATTAATTTTAAATTTAATTAATTTTAAATAATTTTAAATTTTAATTTAATATTACTATTAAAAGCATAAGCTAACAAAATTTCATTTATTCATTAATTGTTAAATTCTTTATAATCTCGCAAAAATGCCAAGTTGTATAACAATATATTTTTAATATTAATATAATATTAATTAATTTTAAATTAATTAATTTAAATAATTTTAAATTTTAATTTTAATATTAATATGAATTAAGCATAAGCAAACCAAATTTCATTTATTTATTAATTGTTAAATTGTTTATAATCCCGCTGAATGATCCAGAAAGTAATAAATTTACACAATTACCGTTACCGCCAGTTGCCGCCATTTTGATGCTCACAGTTTCCAAAACGAACGGAATTTAGTTATCGATTCTGAGCGCTTATCGGCCAAGTCGAACGCTAAAAATTCGTGCTTATAAGCGTGAGCGCTCACAGCGCGTAAGCGTCCAAGTCGAATGCACCCATAGTGTTATGAGAAATAATCAGGTTACTAGAAAAAAGGCCTAGTCAATTGTGAATTGGTTTTAAATATAGAATTTAAATCCAAAGTACAATAAGATGAACATTGTTTTTGAAACTAATTTGAAAACTAAGTGATTTATATTTAATTTTTCAAAGATTATAGGTGACTGCAATTTTTCATAATAAAAAATCGATTTTAGTAAATAAACAATATATGCGAATCTTACCCCAGCCATGTAACATAAACCAAGCTTTAGTAGCTAAGTAAACACTAGTGGCAGCAGAGCCATCAAATGCTCATCAAATAGCAAGCGACCCATTGTGTGCACAATTGAATAAACAATGCCAAGAAGGAAAATTTTTATTATGACATACAAATCTGCTGAAAAAAATCATACCAGCTACATAAAATGTTAAAAATGGCATCCAAACCATGACCCACCATCTTATCGCTGAAATTAATAATAAGCTTATTTCATCACATCTATAATAGCAGTAAAAACAGTGCATGTTAAAATTTGATATCTTTATACAAAGTTGAAGTAAGATAATGTATATGGTATTTACTTTATCATTTACAATCCTTTGACAAATATTTTGCCGTTTAGGAGCATGTGATGCTTCTTTTATTTTTCTGCTACTTTTGGTGTAATCCAAAGTGAACCCAACTGTGATTGTAACATTGACAATGGTGTATCACCACGAAAATTGGTGTATTCAATGAAGATTTCCCTAAAAAAAATATTACTAATAATTATTTCATTATTGTTTTTAAAACTTAATTTATATCTGCAGATCTCAGATTAGTTTAAATTATTTATTAAATACATATTTTAAATTTTATATTTTGAAATAAAATTTTATACTATCCAAACTAAACATACCTGAAGAACTAAAGTATTTATCGCCAAAGTATTTCTGGCTAATATCGCCCAATGCAATGCAGTATTTCCATGAGTGCTGTTTCCAAGCCAGGACTTGCTCGCCTAATGTTAACAATAATCTGTTGGGTCCAAGGCAGTAATCGTAAATATAGTCTTAGTTTTATATCCTTATAACTTATAGTTTTATATATTTTTTTGATATACATTTTACAAAATAATTTATGAATAGAAAAATAAAGGATATTAATTAAATCAAATGCATCAAAAAAGAATGTATGAACTTGCTTAAACACTATATGTTAGCCTTCTATCACAAAAGCGTTTCTATATACCTTCCAAGAAGACCACATTAGAGCCGTCATTCCACCCTGTCACCAAGGTCTGGACTTACACCTCGAGCAACTAAATATGCAACAAGAGCAGTGTGACCAATTGAGCAGCTAAATGTAAACATGAACAACCTTCGGCATCACGTAAAGTTGGATCTGCCCTAAAAAAATTATTGAAAATAAATGTAACAACTATTACATATACATCATTCAAATCAATAATTGCCACAAGGTGTACAATACATGTATATGAAAAATATACATATATGAGATTGAAACTTTTCTTCTACAAAATTTTATTCCAGTTCCAACTTAATACAACCCTACATAAGTTCTAAGCTGAATACATAAATAAATATTAAATTGATATGATTGAAATTATATTTAAATGATCATATCTTTTTTTGATGGTTTTCATATGTAGGAGTTCACAATTGCTTTGAAAAAAACATTTAATATAATAAACACATGATAATTGGTTCTTTGTATTCATTTTATTCAAATAATAATTATACCAAGAAAATAATTTCAATATATTGTAATAATAAATGAAATAACTGATTTACCTGCCGATAGCAATAAAACAGCAGTACCAAGATGTCCCTGCCTTGTGGCCCAATGTAATGGAGTAGCATTTAATTCACCCCCAACAGCATCAACAACAGCCCCTTTGTCCAAAAAATATCTTACAATATCTTTACGATTATTAATTGCAGCCCAATGTAATAAAGTAACCGTTTCTGAATCTGGCTGATTAACATCCCATCCAGCATCTATCAATTCTTTCACTCTTGATAAAGCACCGTACTGGGTCGCTTTAACAATATCAAAGCCACTATAATCGTGTTCAATTGGGGCCACAATTGGCTCGCGGGAGATTAAGCCATCCTTTTCGCGCTCTGGTTCTACACAGCCTCCTACACCAGAGGCTGCACAAGAACTACGATAGGCTTTCATAGTTATTTAGTATTTAACATATATTTATTTGTACATTTTGAAATATAATTTAAACTAAGCATCGATTGACACATCGCAACAGTTTGAGGTTAGAGGGTGCAACCCTCATTTGACAGTTCGCAGGAATACCATCCTGGCAATATTTTAAACTAAAACAACAAAGATATTTTAAATGAAACGTCTTCATTTACAAATGTAAACCATGTTGTTTGTAATGCACATGGTATAAACATTTAATGCTGTAATTATCATATATATTTATCTATTAATATCTGATTCAAGATCTTTCAGAGTATATTAAACAGGGCATAATTATAATTATAACTAAGTATTATTATAGTAAAATAAATTATCAACTAAAAATCACTTATAATTAATTATTAATAAATAATATATTTATTTTCCATTTTACAAAATATACATTCTTAATAAAATACACAAGTATATACAAAATATATGTCAGAAAATAAATCCTGAATAAATTATTTAACATGAGTTAAAAAACTAGTTGCATATATTCTGTCACCTATAAAAACACCAAACTTTAAAACAGCATCTTCAGCTGGCATGATTATCATCTCTCCTGCTTCTTCTAAACCACTTGCTGATTCTATTCAAACAAAATATATATTTTAATACATTCATCAAGAAAAACAATAATATATTTAAATTTATCAAATTTTAAAACCCAATATTATGTGATCTATAAATACATAATAATTTTTCAAAATTTATAGAAATAAGTAGTAAACATATTTCAGATTTTTTTTTGTGAATTTCTAGTTACGTAAAATATCATATTTTGTATTATATTATCTATTTTGCTTTTGCAATCATCTATAGATAATCAAATATATTTAAGTTTATAATTAATTACCTATTGTAGTCCGAGACATTTTTGAAAACAGATTAACTTCTGTTCGCACAACTTTTTGGAGATATAAGCATTTTAGTTGCACCAATATCTAAAAAAAGATAAATTATATATATATATATATATATATATATACACACATATATATATATATATATATACACACATATATATATATATATATATATATATATATATTTATTTACAGTATTATTGTAATTAACTAAATTGTTCATCAAATAGCTTTTGTTTGTTGAAAATGCTATAATTAAACTACTGAATGTTTTCAAATTTCTTTTTTATTTGATAGCACAATCCATTCAATTAAGTTTAGTAAAAAAAAATTCGTTAAAATGTCTTGACTGGCATTTATCCTTTATGTTTGATTATTTATAGTTAAAAGTGCAATTAATATCAAATTTAAATTGTAAGATAGTTTAGATTAGTTGATTCCGTAATAGATACTACTAAACTTGCTTTTAAAAACTAAAAAATAATAAACCGCTATGGCTTGATAATAAACTTTTCATATTTATACAGCTAGAAAATAAAACACTAGTTAATATACAAACCTCAACAAGTTGCCTTGTATGAAATGGTAATTGAAAACTGAACTTTTTCTGCACATCTTGCAATAAAATTCCCGGTAATGACAAACAATAACTTAAAACTGTACTTAACCATTGATCTAAAACTCTTTTGTTAATACTACCATCCACTCTTATCCAAGGGCTAATAGTAATTTTAAGTTGCTCACATGCACTGAAAAGAATAAGAATTTGTGATCATCAAATAATAAATGATAAAGTTCATCATTAAAATAATAATTATTTACCTTTCTACATACTGAGCACCTTCACGAACCTCTGTAGACTCATCTAAGACCGTCCTTTCCTGAGATTCCTCAGTATTACTTTCTTCTAGTATACTTGATTGTGAAAGTTGCTCTTGTGGGAGGTTGCTATGAATGTACAGTACGAAAACATCATGTATTTTTTTCATATAAAATAGTTAGGTACTGTGCTATAGATAAATATAAAATTATAGTTACATGGAATCATCTATGCTTGCTGTAGTTTCAAGCTCATCAACTTCCATTTCCAATGCAGATTCCTGCTCTTCCACCTTTCGTTTTTTTGCAACAGACGTACTAGACCTACTGAGGATTACCATTATCACGATTGAACTTTTTATGTTATCTTTATATATATATACACACACACACATATATATATATATATATATATATATTTAATGAAATAATATACAATTGTATTATTCAGTTTACTTCATAGAATTTAGATTAATTCAATTTTTTTTTTTTTTACAAATTAAAAATGATCTTCATATTTGAATCTTATCAATAAAAATATAATCTTATATAAAAATCTTAATAAAAGTTAGTGAGTTATGGAAACAAATTTGACTAGTTGAAAGTGGCATTTAGTCTTAAGACAAGTTGCATGAACTTCCCAAAATGTGTAAGTTTATTTAATCAATCGAAATTGAACTGTTTATTTCAAAAATAAAGTTATCGCTTTCAATTAAATCTAAACATTGCGATTTCGAATAGAATTAACTGTAATTATATTAATTATATTACACAGACACATGCTTGTATATCCTTAATTAACTTCCCGAAGGAGAAGTTTATGTTTTAATATTATTTTTAACTTCCCGTAGGGCAAGTTATAGTTATCGCAAAAAAATCGAAAATGAAAATTTTATATATCTTTACGTTTCAGAGGTTTCTGAATATTGTGGCATACCTTAGAAAAAATGGATGTATGTGTGTGTGTGTGTGTGTGTGTGCGTGTATGTATGTGTGTGCGGATACAAATTTTCGTCGACGATTTCGGGAACACGGATCAACCGATTTGGATAATTCAAAAAACATTTGATTCGTATTGATAAGGAGACGTGCTGATTAGTTTTTGGCAAAGGCAGGTCTAGCCGTTCCGAAGATACGCGGCAAAAAGTGCCGTAAACGGTAACTCAATTTTTAAGAGAACGGAGCGTCCGATTTGAATAATTCAAAAAACATTTTATTTGTATTGACTAAATGAAGAACTGTTCAAATTTTTGGAAGAGCAGGTCCAACGACTTTGTAGATATGGAGGAAAAAGTAAAAAAATGAACATTTGGCAGTCAAAAATGAACATTAGACAAATGCACATCAAATTATCAGATATTTTATAGAGATTTTAACACTAATTATAAATTTTGTTTACATTCCTATGGTTTCCGTACTAATATTTATTCGTTAGACGGCGACGCGGCGCTTACGCGCTTTAACATTTCGTCTCTATGCAGTTAAAGCAGTACGATTGCTTTGAAAAAAAGTTCAGAATTTCCAAAATATTTCAAAATAAATGATTTAGGATAGAATGATTTAATATGGTTCGTAATTCTATTAAAAGTTTCAAATCATTGATCAACTTTTATTGATTATTATTATTAATTATTTTTAATTACTCGAATTTTGAATTGCGATACGGGAAGTTCCAGCAATTTGCCTTAAGGCACGATGCCCTGATTGCCCTAAGACAGAATTCCATTTACAGCTAGTTATATATTTTAATGAATTGATAATGTTTGTCTCATCACATCACAAAAGCGAATTTGACATAAATTTAAACTATTTATCGTAGGGCCGTAACATTTTAGTATGTTCTATAAGAAGACTATGAGATCTATCGTTAAAAAAGTTTCATAAAAATCGACAATTTTTTTTCTACAACAGTTAATTACAAGAAAACGGGCAGGTAAAATTTACCTAAGACTAACCAGTATCATTCGCAACCAATATCTTTCGACAGTTTTTGATTTTTTAAAATCGATTCAGAATTGAGAGCAAAAACGTGGACGACAATTTTTTCACTTTTCTGCTATTTACAAAGGCTCAGCCGATCGTCGCACAAAACCGAGAAAAGATAATCCACATCGAAATAGATCGATTGGCTATTAAATTTTTGAAATCTGTCTAGCCGTATTTGAGAAAACGTCGATGAATGTTCTAATTTTGACAAACGCCAAAAAAAAAACGATACTATTTTTTGCAAAATATGAAGATTTTTTAAAACTAAACTACTTATCGTAAGGCCGTAATATTTTAGTATAATCTAAAAGACTAAAATAATTTTAACACTTTATTACAAGATTAACCCGATCTTTACCAAAAACAAATTTTGAATTTTCAAAATCGATTCAGAATTGCGGGATAAAACGTGGACGAACAGTTGTTCACTTTTTTGCTATACACAAAGAAACGGCTTGGCTGATCGTCGCGCAAAATTGATAAACGCTAGTCCTCATCGAGATACAGCGAATGGCTTTTAAATTTTTGAAATCGGCCCAGCCGTTCTTGAGAAAACATCAATTTACGGCGAAAAATCTGTTCACATTCATACACACACACATACTTTTTCCAAATTTGGTCTCATCCGGTTCAGAATGGCTTGACACATCGAGAAAACATAAAATTAGCTAATCGAATTTTTTGATGAAAACAAACTTCTCCTTTGGAAAGTTAAAAAACAGTAAATATTATAAATGAACTGTTTTTAAAAAATATCATGATCATTGCATTAATACCTTATATTTCGTTTTCTTTTACCACTTGAACTATGTAAGATGTCTTTTGCGTTAAACATTTTCTCGCGATCCAGTCGGAGCACTTTGGTAGTTTGTACAAGCCATGGTGAAGCATGAAATTTATGAATATATCTAGGTTCACAAATGCCCACTCGCAAAATCAATTGTTGTTTGACTAAACGACTTATGAGGTCTGATGCATTCATAGGAAGCTTGTTCATGGTAATGGATTGCAATAGTGTCTGTAAATAAAACCAAAATGAAAGCAAAGCCCTAAATAACAATAACATAATCCTATACATTTAGATTTTAACTTAAAAAATACAAAAACCCTTTAATAATTATAAATTAATGATAGATATAAAATAAATTAAGAAAAATATGATGTTTTTATTTTCGCTCAAAATATCTATCCACAAAAGTTGGAAAAAGTGTGTATACAAGTGTATAAAAATGGAATATTGTTATCACAATTTCTTGATAGCGTAGGTAGTAATGGCATTTCACGATATTTTTTAAACTAAAAATACCACTTACACCTTTTTGTGATAAAGAACCCGATTTAAAATATTACTAAATCAACTATAAATTGTAAGATATTTGAGTAGTCATATGCAAACTAATTAAAATTCATGTTTTCTTTTAGTGAGTAATCTTGATGTATTTTTATTACTAAGTCTTAGATTTTTTTTATAACATTTAAATTGACTGCTATTTTCCTTATTACCCTTAATTAAATTAATCTTTTTGTAACACTAAGTTTTGAGAATTGTTTTTAATTTTATAACTGGATAATTCCAGTCAAGATTTATGATAAATAAGGCAGTACTTGAAAGTACTTTTAAGTTTAATATGTTAGGAATGCTTCATTATAAATACAGATATTCGATCATATATTAATTTGTTTGTCTTACTCACCAATATATCTTTATTAGTTACCCCATAAAAAGTTTTTGATTTTACAAGTTGTATAATATTTTTTACAATCGTAACAATCTCATTTATTTTGTCAGCTTCAATGTCAGAAAATGCGTTAATTATCTCATCCTGCTCCTTCGTTATTTGGATTTTAATTTCGTTTGATCTGCAAAAAGCATTAAATTTATTAATAAAGCATAAAATATTAATAATAATAACATTTAATATAATCTTGTACAATCTTTAACTATCTTTAAACAGGTAACATCTAGTCAATTATGAGAACCCAAAACACCGAAAACGGTAAGTAAGTAAAAGTGTCGTGATTATTGAAAAAAAAATCAAGCTGATAAATACTCTATAATCTAGGGGTACACATCACATAGGACAAATGGAAAAAAATTGTACTTAGTTAAGTGTATTGCTACTGATTACATATATCAGTACTTCAAAAAAGTTATTATTGCACTATATAATAAAAAAATAATCCCTATCAAATAAACATGAATCTGAAACTATAATAATTCTTCTTAATTTCTCTGTTCAGTATCTAATTGTCTACATAATTTTCAAAAAGGTCTATGCAGACACTTCAGTATTTATTACTTGTAATATTAAAAAAAACTTAAGAAATTGAATACTTACTCTCTTAAGTTAGTAAAAAATGTTTCCCAATGTTTTTTATTATTCTTTAATATTTCGTTAGCTAATGGGGGATTACCATTTTGTTCCATAAAAGATATATAGAGATTTGATGAATTCACAACAAAATAATCATGAAGATGTTGTTTAGATTCTGGATCGAATTCTGCTCCTTGTAAACGCATCATCCATAAAGCCAAACGACCCTTAACGAGAATAATATTATTTAAGTTTAGCAAAAATTTGTCAAAGTAAAAATATTTCATCATATATATATATATATATATATATATATATATATATATATAGATATATATATATATATCAAAAATTATTATTCTCGTTATAAATATTAAATTATACTATAAATTACTCGTGAAGTTAAAATAGCTTCTGATGCTTCTTTTAGTTTGTCATCATTTGTCAAATCATCATTTTGTGTTTCAGTCATTGAAGTAGAATTTCTATCAGTATTACTGAATTCATTTCCAATATATTCATTATCAGAATCTTCAAAATCAAAGTTGCTTTGTTCTGAATTAGCACTTTTTCCAGCAGACTGAAGAAGATCATGATATCTTTTCAATATCCTCTCATATGTGGGATCATGCTCGCTTATTCTAGGATCTAATATCACAACCTGAAATATCATGTAAATTAATTAATTAACCCCATAATAGTAAGAACACCTAACAATAAAAGATAGTTGTCCAAAATAATTCTAAACAAGTAAGGCACAATATAGTGAATTAAACCGTACAAACGCGACAATTATATGGACCTTCCACTCAACATATTTCATCATATAAATGAAATATAAATTTTTTTCATTCAATGTTAATAAAATGTTTTGCGGGATGAAGAAAAGTCAAAATCGAATTTTTCTCACAATATTAACAATTGTAATGATTTCTTTGCCGCAAAGTTATATCTAATTACAAAATATACAGTATAATATATATATATATATATATATATATATATATATATATATATATATACAGAGACGGTCCTGCCTTGCATGCGATGCATGCAAAAAATACGGGCGCACGCCTTAGGAAGCGCAAAACGAGTTTCGGAAATTAAATTTATAATATAATATTTATATTTTTTTATATAAAATCTAGAATTATTTATTTAAAATCTAGAATACTTAATAAATTATAATAAATAATTTAACTTAACTAGGCATACGGAGACACAAAAAGCATATTTATTTTAAATATTTATTAAAACAACAAGCTGATACCCTGAATATGACGGGAGAGCAAGGATGAATACAATTCGGCTCTTACGATATCAATAAGGAGACGTTCACGACGCAATTTTGGATATTGTAAATAATGAAAAATTAAATTAAATTAAAATTTAAAAAATCCAACATGAAATACGAGTGTTATGAATTCTAGATTTTTAGCTCTTTTAGCATGATTTGCTTAATGGAATAAATCGCAAAATAAATAAGTAAAATGTTTTAAAATCTAAATATTAATATTGCACATACGTTAAAAATAATTGAAAAATTAAAAATATTTGATTCCAATCAACTCGCGAATCGCCTCGAATTTCTAAATAAATTTAAAATCAATGTATTTTATACGCTTTTAGATTATATCTAATTTTTGCGTACTAAATCCAGAATAATTAAAAATTAATTTTTAAAAAATATGTAAATATTTATATAATTTAGATGTTAAACTGTTAAAACAGGTAAAATTAAAGGGGGGGGGCGCTAGAAAAAATGTTGCATGCGGGCGCTAAGAACCCCAAGATCGGCCCTGTATATATATATATATATATATATATATATATATATATACAGGAAAGGTCCAAGGGTCCTCAGTGCCCACATGCCATTTGTTCCTTGACGCTCCTTTTCGTCTATATTTTAAAACTACTTTTACATTTTTTCATTAAAATTATATGAAAAACTATGTGTGATAGATATATATTGTTATCGAAATATATATCACAGGGCATATATTATTATTATTATTATTATTATATTATAGTATATTAAAATATCAGTTAATATTATAGTATATTAAAATATCAGTTAAGTAGTGTGCCATGTGTTGGATTTAATCAGTATGACATTTTATATAAAACATGAGAATGTGACATATTTGTTTGTAGTTGAATTGTGATTATATCGTCTGAGAGTAATACAATTATGTTGAGTTATGTTGTGGCTTATATCTAGCCAATAGTCGGCTAACAATATATGTATATATACATATACATATATATATATATATATATATATATATTATAATCTTAGTATTAACTACCTGCTCAGGCACACAAATATCATAACTGACACCAAAATTTAAAGTTAATTCTGAGAAACTCGCTGCTGATCCTCCGTTAGTAACAGACACAAAAACACCTGCAATAGAGAATTGAATATATAAAAAACAATATAATTAAATACTTTTAAAAAATTGTATAGATTCATAATGATTAATTCAATTGCCTTTTTCTTCCTTGGAATTAAATTGGTCCAGAAGTTTGCGCAGCATCGCATTACTTTCATGGAAAGTCGATAGAAGGTATTTTGACCTCATTTGATTTTCATAAGTAATAGATAATTGAAAAGGAGCACTGCTCAGTGGAAGATTGCCTGAAAATAAAAAATTAAACTATAATCATGGAAATTCGTTGACGAATTTGAAATGTTCTTATGTATTGCAACCATCCACCAAATTGTTGGGTCAATGAACACCTGCAGTTATATTTTTTCAATCATACTTTCAACTTTCAGCATGGTACTTAAAATTAAAAATTATTTTTAAGTTTAAAAATGGCTTTACGTTTCAAGGCTTGTTGATCAATTTGTACTTTCTGACTCAGAAAGTGTTCAGAATTTCTGCACATTCGAGAAAGAATGCTACAAACATTTAGAAGCTAAAAGCTAGTATTTGACATATAAATAACAAATTATTAATTTGTATGAATTTTTAAATTATGCTTAATATTTATTAATTTTATCTTATTCTAAAACAGATTACGTTTAAATTAAATTGGCACATCCGTTAGTATAATATATTATACTCTAGGGATAAGGGACTCGATTTATTAATATATTTTCACTAAGCTTTTTATAAATTCATTATTATTTGAATCAGAAAGCAAAATCAGCAAAAATTCAAAAGGGTAAATTCCAGCAATTTGCCTTATGACCTGCCATCCCAAAAAATAAGCATTTAATTAAGCAAAAATTACATTTCTATTGGTTCCGAACTAAAATTTATAATGATTAATCATTAGACTGCGACGCGGTACTTATACGCTTTGATATTTCACACAACTACACAGCGCGATCGCATTAAAACGGATTACAAAACTTTCAAAAAATTACAAAAATATGGAAGTTTTCAGGAAATTTCAAAATTTCAAAATTCTCAAAAAAAATGATTTATTTCACAATTTTCAAAATACATTAAAGCTTTTATAAATTTTAAATTACGGTCAAGAAGTTCGACAATTTGCCTTAAGGCACGATGCCATGCACCACGAGTTAGTGGATTTTTCATGCACTGCGCTGAACGATTAATAGTCGAAGAGCCAGTGAACTATTTGACTAACCTGTTTTCTCAAAGCTAGAAATTTTCTTAATGATATTTTATTATCGGTACATTAAGAAAGTGGCGGTCTGGCAAGCATCTCGCGATTGCGTCATCATCCCTCGAGTTTTTGAATTTGTAAAAAAAAAATTAACTTGCTTTCACAAGGCTCAAATTTTGAGGGTGTATTCTTTTAACTGTTCAGAAAGCATATGTAAAAAGCCAGACCATTCTGACGGTTGCAAGGGTCTGCCAGACGAGTACATAATAGTCACGACGCGCAAGGTGTGGGCGCATTGCCATACATAATCGACCAATACCCTTGTATTTGAATAATTTATACGCCAATTTGAAGGTCATTTTGAAAACATCCGATATACCAAACTTCAACTTTGTATCTCACGAGATATCATTGAAAATATGCCAAAGTGGCCCCTTTTTCAAACTCAATTTTTGGCGTAACCATAAAAGATATCGAAAAAAAATTACGTGATTCTACTCATATTGGCTTAGACCACATAATGTATAGTAATATATGCTAAATAATCCTTTATTATTAGCTAAAAAGGATAAAATAATTATTCAATTAATGTTTTTGGATAGTGCGTTTTGTTTAATTACTTTATTATTAGCGTTATTCGAAAGCCTATTGTTTTCTATTTTAGTACTGCAAAAATTGTTCAAATCAAATTTGTGAAACATATTGAAAAATTGAACGGATTTTTTTTTCGATATTACACACACACTCAAATATATATATATATATATATATATATATATATACATATATACATATATATATATATATATATATATATTTAAAAAAAAAAAAAGATTTCTACAATTAATTACGAAGAAAGGGTGCGTCCGATCCTACGAAGAACTAATCAGCACGATTGCCAACTGATAACTTTCGAATTTTCAAAATCGGTTCAGAAATGTGAAAATGTCGGATTATTTAAGAATCTTCAATTTTTTGTCGGCGATATTAGAGCGGATCAACCGACCTAAATGATTCAAAAAAAGTCCAGCGGTTTCGGAAATGCAAAAAATTTTATATGGTCATCAATTTGGTAATGCCGTTTTTGAATCTTCAAAGAATTGATCATTCGATTTAAAAAAATATATCGCTTATGTTGACAATGTGAAACAGTGATTAGTTTCAAATTAATAGTATTTATAATATTTATTTCAAAATATTTAAAACAATTGTTATTTCTTATTGATCAATTTTATTGAGCATTGATTAATTTTATTCCTCGAATATTTAGTTACAGTTTGGATAACTTTATGATAATTTCTCGTTTGTATTCCCAAATGGAATTATGATTTTACATTATAAGAAACACACAAATATAAACAACCAGAAAATTAGCCGTCTCGCGCGAAGTTTATTTAATAATCTACAGTGATGACAGACGATTTTAGATAGTTGTCCATAAGAGATAAATAAGAGAGTAAAATGATAGTGCTTGTAAACCACTAATCCTTCTTTACTCGTATATCAGTAAGAAAAATCTAAATAAAAATGACAAACTAAATTTTAAATAATTAAAATTTTTCAGGGTCCTCTTGCGAGGCCTCTTGAAGCGCGAGGCCGTCGGCGGTCGCCGACACCGCCGACGCCTAGCGCCGCTACTAGTTAGAGTTTTCCCATTTCCATTTCACATCGCAGTGCCCGAGATGGTCTTATCTTCAATTGGAAACATACTTTGATCTATATTTTCAATTGAAAATGAACATCGCGTTGCTCGATGTCAGATTGCCAGATTGAGGAATCGAAAGCGCGACCCCATCCACATCGGTCCGCGCGTTAACAATCTCGGTCACGACAACCTTATATATATATATATCTTGATGATTTTTTGTTCGACGTTGAAACATATTGAAATGAATAAAACAGCCAATGCGTCGAATGTAAACAATTTATTTATTTTTTATACGTTTCGAGACTAGATGTGTCTCATCATTCAGCTAAAAGAAATTTACAATATAAAGAAAAGGTTTCAAAAAAAATGAATTTATACAATGGAAAAATTAATTGAAAAAACAACAAATTATACACACCAGATCAGGAAAAACCCACTTTACTAAAACATTTTACAACACCACAATCACATGACACTACTGTAGGAAAACAAAAATAATTTACGAAAAGACCGAAAAGGTAGATGTAAAAATGTATAAAACATAATTATTTGTTTTCAAAGCATAGCAACACGAATGGACTAAGAATGCGTCGAGAGACGTGTAGACGGCTATGCGACCAACACGCGTGCATGTGGGAAGGGATATCAGGGGTGTAGTATGGCGTCAGATTTACAGAAATTAATTATATTTTGATAACTTTCTGAGAGTAAGCTAGAAGAACTGCGTTTGTTAACACAATTAGAATGTAAAAGATGAAACATGATTCGGAAAATCTTCTAAGGTCTACTTTTTTTCTTTATATAAAATTATAGATGGTCAGTATTAAACGAATGTTTGAAATTAATAATGTGCTCAGAAAACATTGTTTTAAATTGTCTAGGGTTTTTTGAATTATAAATATGTTGATTCATTCTCTTGCTAATGTATTGGGAACTTTCACCGATATAACAACTGTCACAATCTAAACAATTAATTTTATAAACGGCATCGGTGATTCGGTCAGACGGAGATTTTGATTTTAAGGTAGAAAACAGGGAACTGAGTGTGTTATCAAAAGTGAAAACTAAAAGAAAACCTTCAACAGAAAAAAAGTTTTTTTAAAAAATAAGAAAAACTACCCAAATAAGGTAAACAAATAATGCCTTTATATTTGCTAAATAAAGAAGAAGAATTTGAATCGGCAGTAAAATATTTTGAACAACGGAAGTGACATTATTATTATCAATATTGGTAACGTTTAAAAATTTAACCTATTTTTAATTATATTATTGATTAAATGTAAAGGATAAGAGTTATTTGTGAGAATGGAGCGGACTAAATCCAAATTTTTATTCCAAAAAGTTTTATTGCTTAAAAGAATAGCTCTATCAATGAGAGAAATGATGATGGAAATTTTTACAGAACGAGAATGAAACGATAAGTAATTAATGTATCTACCGGAAGAAGTTGGTTTTTGAAACCAATCAGTTAAAATAAATTGTTTTGGTTTCTAATGAGTTTAATGTCTAAAAAACTAATGAATTGTCATCTTCAACTCACAAGTAAACTTTAAATGATTGTTAAAAGAATTAAAGGAATCAGAGTGGAGGAAATGGAATTATTTTCTGAAAATAATTCCATTTCCTCCACTCTTGATTCCTTTAATTCTTTTACAATCATTTAAAGTTTACTTGTGAGTTTGAAGATGACAATTCCATTAGTTTTTTAGACATTAAACTCATTAGAAACCAAAACATTTTATTTTAACTGATTGGTTTCAAAAACCAACTTCTTCCGGTAGATACATTAATTACTTATCGTTTCATTCTCGTTCTGTAAAAATTTCCATCATCATTTCTCTCATTGATAGAGCTATTCTTTTAAGCAATAAAACTTTTTGGAATAAAAATTTGGATTTAGTCCGCTCCATTCTCACAAATAACTCTTATCCTTTACATTTAATCAATAATATAATTAAAAATAGGTTAAATTTTTTAACGTTACCAATATTGATAATAATAATGTCACTTCCGTTGTTCAAAATATTTTACTGCCGATTCAAATTCTTCTTCTTTATTTAGCAAATATAAAGGCATTATTTGTTTACCTTATTTGGGTATTTTTTCTTATTTTTTTAAAAAAACTTTTTCTGTTGAAGGTTTTTCTTTTAGTTTTCACTTTTGATAACACACTCAGTTCCCTGTTTTCTACCTTAAAATCAAAATCTCCGTCTGACCGAATCACCGATGCCGTTTATAAAATTAATTGTTTAGATTGTGACAGTTGTTATATCGGTGAAAGTTCCCAATACATTAGCAAGAGAATGAATCAACATATTTATAATTCAAAAAACCCTAGACAATTTAAAACAATGTTTTCTGAGCACATTATTAATTTCAAACATTCGTTTAATACTGACCATCCTATAATTTTATATAAAGAAAAAAATGTAGACCTTAGAAGATTTTCCGAATCATGTTTCATCTTTTTACATTCTAATTGTGTTAACAAACGCAGTTCTTCTAGCTTACTCTCAGAAAGTTATCAAAATATAATTAATTTCTGTAAATCTGACGCCATACTACACCCCTGATATCCCTTCCCCCATGCACGCGTGTTGGTCGCATAGCCGTCTACACGTCTCTCGACGCATTCTTAGTCCATTCGTGTTGCTATGCTTTGAAAACAAATAATTATGTATTTTATACATTTTTACATCTACCTTTTTCGGTCTTTTCGTAATTATTTTTGTTTTCCTACAGTAGTGTCATGTGATTGTGGTGTTGTAAAATGTTTTAGTAAAGTGGGTTTTCCTGATCTGGTGTGTATAATTTGTTGTTTTTTCAATTAATTTTTCCATTGTATAAATTCATTTTTTTTTGAAACCTTTCTTTATATTGTAAATTTCTTTTAGCTGAATGATGAGACACATCTAGTCTCGAAACGTATAAAAATAAATAAATTGTTTACATTCGACGCATTGGCTGTTTTATTCATTTCAATATATATATATATATATATATATGTGTGTGTGTGCGTGAATTTTCAACTAACCTGTTTTCAATGAACTTTTAGCTGCATTCTTTTTTACTGAAACCATAAAAGTATTTCTTAGCTTTCCTAACATAGACCTGAGTAAATGTTCTGGATACTGTTTATATATGTTATATAATTGATAATTCCATCTTGTTTTATCTCTAACACAACATAAAGAACTATGAATTATGCACTGTATTACAGATCTTTGAATGTCTTGAATAGTATTTGGCTCTGAATATTTGTCTTTGTCTTGCGAATCAGAAAGTGTTCTGAAATAATTAAAAACTTTCCAGAATGTGATATAATGTAAATGCAATAAAGTCTGCATTTCTGAAAACCTAAATCACCCCCAATAACAAAACTAATTCAAAATTATTATACCTAATATTATAATTTTCTAGAAATTCGTGTATAGTCCGTGGCAATATACCAGAGAATGGTCCTGAGTTCACACTGAAGCCTCCAAATATTCTACGCAATGCCGTTACCAACTCAACGTAATGGACATTTACCTAAAAAAGTTCATAATAACTGACATTGATTTTCACAATCATACAGAATGATAGCACAATGTAAAAATTTATCATATTTTATATGATAATGAACTCACTTTATTTGCATACTCATCATGATTTACAGATTTTTCACGAAACATTTTTATATAATCCGTTCCAAAGTTTTTACTGATTTCTGGAATCCATCGAATTTCTTCTAAACATAATCGCACACTACTTTCTGTCTGTGGATTTTTCATTATGTATAATATCCTTCGTTGACATGCTTTTGATGTTTTATTATATGAGTGTGTAACTCTGAAAATGCATATGAATTGATAGTTATTTTATCACTGACGTCTTTTTATTGTACTCACTTGTGCAAAATATCGCGTACAATATACACAGAAATGGTAACACTTCTCCAATTAGGAAACAAATACATCAGGCCAACTTTACACAGCAGAAGCAACCTATCTTCATCGGGATGCCAGTCTACTCTCAACTTGCTCATCCTCTGCAAAGCTTGTTTGTCTATTTCATCATAGTTAGCAGGTTTACGTCTCTGTCTACGTGGAGCTATTTCACGAACTATATCTTTCTTTACTATGCGTTTAATGAAAGGTACACTACTAGACTTTTTGACTGCAGCTCGTTTTTTTGATTTTACTAACATTCCGGTACCGATCTAAAATAATAATTAGATAAATTGGTAATCAGTCTAAAACTTCAAGAATGTATAATATAAGTTACTTAATTAAAGCATATTTAATAATAAATTCGTATGAAAACTTCTGATTGAATTAACCATATCCAGTACAAACAAATACTAGTTGGTATTGGTATTTTGCCTTGAAGCAAGTTACATGAACTTCCTGATATGGGTAAATAATCGACTTAATCTATAATAAATAAATTAATTTACGATGGATTAAAAGTATTTCGAGTGGATTTATTACACATAATTGAAAATGAACAAACAAGTTAAATCGGAGAAAATGTTCGAAAATCAATAATTTTTATAATCGAACCAGTATTCGTAAGACTTTAATGATTTAGTATGTTCATTAAGACCAATAACTCTATCATTATACCAAGTCTATCTATAAATCGCCTAATTTTAATTTTTACAAACGTCCAAAAAACTACTTATTTTCTCAAACTTTGATGAATTTTTAAAATTAATTTACTTGTCTTAAGACCGTAATATTTTAGTAAGTTCTCTAAGACCATGATATATATCGTCAAAAACAAAGTTTCATAAAAATTTGCTTAAATTTTTTTTTCAATAGTTAATTACAAGAAAACGGCTCGGTAGATTTTCACCTAAAACTATAATCAGTATCATTCCCAACTAATATCTTTCGAACAGTTTTTGATTTTTTTAAATCGATTCGGTAGTATGAGCTTAAATGTGGACGAGAAGTTTAACACTTTTTTCCAAATTACAAAGAAACAGCTCGGAAGATCGTCGCACAAACGATAGTCCTCATTGAGATACATCAAATGGCTTTTAAATTTCTGAAATCGGTTCAGGCGTTTTTGAGCAAACGTCGATGGAAGGTCTAATTTTGACAAATGCCAAAAAACGATACTATGTACGTTGATGAATTTTTAAAATTAAACGACTTGTAGGGCCGTAATATTTAGTATGATCTATAAGACTATGGTATCTACCGTAAAAAAAACTCATACAAATCGTTGAAAAAGAAAAATTTAACACTATATTACGAGAAAACGGCCGGTCGGTCTTTGAATTTTTAAAATCGAGTCAGCTATTACAAGAGCATCTAGATATTGCTACAAAATGGCTTTCTTTATGGAGAACTATGACAAACGGCGTAAAATCTACGCATATCACTTACACGCTGCGTACTGGTATATGCCCTACAATTAAGTTAAATGGACAGGAAATCCCAGCAAAAGATAGCGTAAAATATCTCGGAATACACCTAGACTCAAAATTGAAATGGAGAGTTCACATTAACAAAAAAAAAAAACAGCAAACTGATGAACTATTTAAAAAACATTACTGGGTGCTGAATAAACGATCCGAACTATCGACAAACAACAAACTAATTATTTACAAATGTATTTTCAAATCAGTGTTGTCTTATTGGATTCAACTATGGGGCACCGCCAAAAAAACAATATACAGAACATTCAGCGAGTGCAGAACAAGATCATACGGCAGGCACTGAACGCACCCAGGTACGTTCCCAACTGGTTGATTCACTAGGACAGCAACATGATGACAGTAAATGAAATAATTCAACAAACTAGCTGTAAGTGGAATTCTGTCTTAAGGCAAGTAGGGCATCGTGCCTTAAAGCAAATTGCTGGAACTTCCCGTACCAAAAATTATTATTTTTTTTAAAAACGATTAACATTTTTGAAAAAAAATTACTTCGAAAAAATAAGATTTTTGAGAAACTATAAATTTGACAAAAAAATACTTTTTTTTGAAAAAAAAATTTAAAAAAAAATCATTAAAATTTTTTTTTTTTAATCTTTTTTTTTTTGAAAAAAAAATGTTTTCTTTATTCTGACATATGTTGGAAGATCTGAACTTTTTTTCAAAGCAATCGTACTGTTTTAAATGCATAGAGACAAAATATAAAGCGCGTAAGCGCCACGTCGCTGTCTAACGGGTAAACATTGGTACGGAACCCATAGGAATGTAAACAAAATTTATACTTATTGTTAAAATCTCTATAAAATATTTGATAATTTGATGTGCATATGTCTAATGATCATTTTTGACCGCCAAATGGCATTTTTTTTTTACTTTTTTCGTTATATCTCCGAAACCGCTAAACCTGCCCTTATAAAAATTTGATCAAATCTTCATCTTGTCAATACAAGTAAAATGTTTTTTGAATTATCAAAATCGGACGCTCCGTTCTATTAAAAACTGAGGTACCGTTTTTGGCACTTTTTGCCCCATATCTTCGGAACGGCTAGACCTGCCTCCGCCAAAAACTAATCAGCACGTATACAAATCGAATGTTTTTTGAATTATTCAAATCGCTTCCTCCGTGTTCCCGAAATCGTCGACGAAAATTTGTATCCGCACACACACACACATACATCCATTTTTTCTAAGGTATGCCAAAATATTCAGAAACCTCTGAAACGTAAAGATATATAAAAATTTTCATTTTCGATTTTTTTTGCGATTACTATAACTTACCCTACGGGAAGTTAAAAACAGACAACTATAAAAGAAGAATTGAACACCCAAATCATTTGGCACAAAAAGTATTCTCAGAAGCGCGCCCAACCAGGCTAAAAAAAAAATTCCCAATGATCTCATAAATAGCCATCTGTAAACGCTAGCATTATTATTATTATTATTATTATTATTATCTTATTATTCTAATATTGTTATTTTGTTATATTTTATTGTTTTTCTAGTATTATTTTATTATTCAGAAATTTTATTTATTTTATTTATTAATTTTTTTTTTTTTTAATGATTTGCTTTTATTTTATATTAAATCATACTACGGATATCATTTTAATGTAAATTATATCCTTTGTACTCTTATTTATTTAAATTTATGTTATTATTTATCATTATTACTAGATGTTATATTATTTAACAGTTGTAATAAATATTGTAAATAAAAAAAATCGAGTCAGAATTGCGGGCTAAAACGTGGACTAAAATTTTTTCACTTTTCTGCGATTTGCAAAGAAACGGTTCGGCCGATCGTAGCGCAAAACTGACAAGGATAGTCCTCATCGAGATACATCGAATGGCTTTTAAATTTTTGAAATCGGTCCAGTCGTTTTTGAGAAAACATCGATTTACGGCAAAAAATCTGTTCACACACACGCACACACACATACTTTTTCCAAAGTCTCATTCAATTCAGAATGGCTTGAAACCTCGAGAAAACATAAAATTAGCGAATCGAATTTTTTGATGAAAACAAACTTCTCCTTCGGGAAGTTAATAGCGCAAAAAGGCATAAATATATAAAAAATTAATAAGTAATAAGCTATTCCAATTATTTATTGGCAACAACATTATTAAAATATGAAGCCTACCTGCAAAGTGGCTGCAGTAATTTTTTTGTGACACGGTAAATCTTTTAACGATACACTTTTCTGCACTGATTTCAGCTGAGCATCTCGAACGCTATGAACGTCTTCTTTTTTGAAATTCTGATGTCCACCATAAGAGACACTGGTCCAATGCCAATTGCGTTTAAGGTGGGAAAACATTGAAGAATCCACGCCAGCGGCACCACGTCTATCCCCCGGCATGTACCTGAAATATTAAAACAATATCATGTATTCATATAACTTTAATATAACTTTAAGAACAATAAGAAATATTATATGGTTAATAATAATATAAATAGGTTTACAATTTCAATTAATATAATTATCATATAGGTTTTATTATTATAATGTTACTTTAGCAACAATCTTATTTTATACAATTTAATATTGATTAATTGACTAATTTTTAATTTATTTTACTGTTCTTTTTTGTAAAAGATTTCATTAAATTATTTTATAGAATATTGGCTTAAATCAGTGATTTCCAACCTGTGGGGCGCGCCCCCCTGGGAGGGCGCCATACCGTTCCAAGGGGGGCGCGAAGCTGTTTCAAAAATATTATTTTTAAATGCTGAGTAAGTGTCAAAAACAAATCAGCAAAATACTTAAAGTACTTGTAAGAGTGTTTGAGCTCAAAAAAGAAATTGCTATATTTCTTGCTGATAACAAAAGAGACGGAGCAATCTTGTTTTAGGACACAAAGTTTCTCGCAAAATTTGCGTATTTAGTTGATATTTTTCAAAGACTTAGCGATTTAAATAAATCAATGCAAGGATCTCAAATTCGTGCTTTTGTTCAGAAAGACAAGATTACGGCTTTTATGAGAAAATTAGAACTGTGTATAGCTAGTATCAAATAACTTTATAACTTTAACATGTTTCCCACTTTTAAAATTACTTGTGTTACTGATGAAATAGAAGTAAGTAAAGATCTTATTATTATATCAGTCATATGACTAGTCTACGAAACCAATTTTCGCATTACTTTATCTAATTACGTCCAAATATGAATGGATTAGAAATCCATTTGTCATTGAGAAACATGATGATTTTGGTCATTCAACAGCAGAGCAGAAAATGATAATTGATTTATCTAGTGATAGCACATTGAAGCAGATGTTTCAGGACGAAAATATATTGTTGGGTTTTGGTTACCAGTAAAGGACGATTTTCCTACTTTGACAAATAATGCTTTAGAAATATTATTACCATTTATGAGATCTTACTTATGTGAAACAGAAAATTCTTATAATAAATAGTTATGTTTGTATGTATATTTTTATAATATTGTATATTATTTGGCATAATTTCAGTTATATTAAGTATATTTAAATTAAATTGTTAGAAAAATCAGAATGGGGGGCGCAATATTTTTTCATTCAAAAGGGGAGCGCAAGGAAGAAAAGGTTGGAAACCGCTGGCTCAAATAATCAATAAAAACGTTATTAGATGTGAAACTTTTGAAAATATAAAACAAGCTGTGGTCGTTGTTTTAATGCTTATACTGTCAAATCACAAATTCGATTAGAAAGTATTCATGAACTAAAAACAGGGTTTAAAATACAACTGAAATCAATTAGAATTACCCAATGTCCGCTAAAATAGCTTCTTCTGGTTCTTTAGCCTTTAGAGACTCTTGCAAAATGGCTTTGTAAGATATTTTTTCCATGATTATTTGTTGTCCCATTAAGGTGTTTCTCAATCCTAAACTTGTATGCACACTTATATCCCAAAATTCACACCTGAGATACATATTGATCATAGATAAGGATATTGATCATGTTTATAAATTTCTTAACATATTTAATATCGATAATAATTTATCGAACGAAATAATAATAAATAACTAGTGGTGTATGGCATCGTGCCTTGAGGCAAATTGCTGGAACTTTCCGTACCGAAATGAAATATTAGAGAAATATTAAATGTTTTCAAATAGATTATTATGAATACTGAAACTTATATATGTTCACAGAAAAGTAAATAAAACTTAATCAATCGAATTTAAAATGAAGGACATAGTGTAATATTTATAAGAATTATATAAACTAAATTGCAAAGTTAAAGTTATTTATTTGAAGTATATAAGCTTTAGAATTTTAGCTGGAATTAGAATTAAAATCCAAATTATTTTTCATATTCAAAAAAAATATTTTTGGAGATTAAAAAAAATTTTATTTCTATTATAAATTTTATATTTATAAATGATTATTTAGCATATATATTAATATACATTATGTGGTCCAAGCCAATGTGAGTAGAATCACGTAGTTTCTTTTTCGATATCTTTTATGGTTACGCCAAAAATAGAGTTTGAAAAAGGGGCCACTTTGGCATACTTTCAATGATATCTCGGCCATATGGTGAGATACAAATTTGATGTTTGGTATATCGAATGTTTTCAAAAAGACCTTCAAAATGGCGTATAAATTATTTAAATACAAGGGTTTAGCCGATTATGTATGGCATTATATACTCGACTGGCAGACCCTTGCAACCGTCAGAATGGGATGGCTGATAGCATATATTTCCTAAACAGTTAAAAAAATGCACCCTCAAATTTTGAGCTTTTTGGGAGCACGTTATGAAATTTGTTTTTTTGACATTTTCAAAAATTGATGGGATGATGACGCAACCGCGGAATGACTGCCAGAATGGTACTTTCTTAATGGGTCGATAATAAAATATCATTAAAAAAATTTCTAGCTGTGTGAAAACAGGTTATTCAAATAGTTCACTGGCTCTTCTACTATTTGTGTATCTGGGAAACGGCTGGACCGACCTTTCCTAAAAAATTTTCGATTTTGTTTTATTTTTTTATCGCACCCTTATATACCTATTTTAATCCAATAAGTATAATTAGCCTGGTAAATTAACCTGGTTTGTACGTTAAATCAGAGTTTTTTTTAAAGCGAGATTTCCATATTACGCGGAACGATCTCGTCACGTATTAGGAAGGTTGACTGTATATACATATAAGTAATAATAAATAGTAGTCTGCCCGAAAACAGGTCCATAGTATGAGAGCATCTCAAAATCAACGATTTCCTACCCCTTCCGTGTTTATTATTCCCGTTACCATTTTATTACCATTAATTAATTACCACTAATCACATTACATTCGTTTTTATGAATTTTCCTTTCAAAACTTCTGCTTCCAAGCTTCCTGGTCCTGTGCTTCGACTTATATATTTACATATACATATATACATACATATACACATATATATATATATATATATATATATATATATACAGTTAAAACATACACAATATTTAGCATGTATAATATTGATCTTGTTAACTTCCCGTAGGGCAAGTCATAGTAATCGCAAAAAAATCGAAAATAAAAATTTTTATTTTCTTTAGGTTTCAAAGCTTTCTGAATATTGCGGCATACCTTAGAAAAAATGGATGTACGTGTGTGTTTGTTTTTTTTTTGTATAGCGAAGGAAATGCTTTTATGCATCCCAGACCGGTCTTCTGTCTGGGTATGTCGGACTCGATACCGCCCTGGTATAATACCGACTAAAACCTCCGCTTTGTCCTTGCCTCTGGTCCCCACAGAAACCACCGTTAGGCATTACTTCGTGGGGCCTAGGGCGGCACAATTTAGGGAGCGGCACAATTTAGGGAGCGGCAAATTTTTTAGAATGTCAAAACTTTAAACTCGATAAAATGTCACGACAATTCATTTTAAGGATAGCCTGTAGAATAAAACTAAATCCTGACAATTAAACTACAATATCTGACAATTTGGTATGCTTCCACCAATTGGCATTTTTTTCAACTTTAGGAAGGCTAAGTTATAATAATCCCAAAAAATCGTAAATAAAATTGTTTATATATTTCTACGCTTCAAGATCTCTAAACATTTTGACATACCTTATAAAAAATGGATGTATGCATGTGTTTGTGCGGTTACAATTTTTTGCCAATTGACATTTGATTTATAATATTGGGAGGACGTGCTGATTAGTTTTTTGCAAAGACAGTTCTATCCATTTTGGAATAGGGGGCAAAAAGTTAAAAAAATGCCAAATCAATTTTTCAAAAACGGAGCGTCCGATTTGAATAATTCAAGACACATTTTACTTGTATGACGAAATAAAGAACTATCGAAAATTTTGCGAGAGCATTGTCAGCAATTTTAATGATCCAAAAAAGTGTCATTTGGTGGTAAAATATGATCATCGGACATATGCACATCAAATTATCAGATTTTTTATGAAAAAATATTAATTATTGCAAATTTTGTTTTTAATATTTTGAACCCTTCCGTACTAAGATTTTTAATTTTTAAAGTTTACTTAGATAGTTCAAGTAGATTAGATCAGATCCTTTGCAAAGGATCAATCGACATAAATGATTCAAAAAATATTCGCTTGGCTTTGACCGCGAGGCGTACTGTTTATGCCAAAGGCAGGTTTAGCATTTTTTAGGATACATAGCGCAGAAAGTGAAAAAGTGGTCATGAAGGTTTTGAGAATACAGATCATCCTTTTGGAATGACTCAAAAAATATTTTGTTCGTGGTATTTTAATGGTATGAATAAATGATTAGTTTTCCGAAAAGGCAAGTCCACTGCTGGTTTCAAAACTTTGAGAAAATTAAATACCTAAAATTCTCAAATAATCGATTTATTTTAAAATTAAAAAAAAAACTCGAAATTTTTGAATATCTATTTATCGAGTTTAGTCCAATGAATTTTTAATTTGTGAAATTAGTTCAGGCGTTTTTGAAAATTAAATTCTGATTTATCACATCATGAAAGCGTCTTTTAACACAAATTTTGACTATAAAATTTTATCAAACTTTGATGAATTTTTAAAATTGTCAAATCTTTTGACTTCTGATTGATATCTTTTAGAAATCTTTTTTTAATTTTAAAAATCGGTTTCTGGCTTTATTGCAAAAACGTAATATTTTTGCTTTTTTATGCTAATTTCAAACAACCGGCTTGGTCGATCGTCTCGCAAACCTAATCGGTCCGGCCGATTTTTACCAAAAACTAATAAATACGATTTCCAATCAAGATCTTTCGAATGATTTTTGAATTTTTAAAATAGGCTTAACATTGTGGGCTAAAACGTTGACGAATTTTTTCTCTCTTCTGCTAATTACAAAAAAACGGCTTGGCCGACCGATAAACCTGCCTTCCCAAAAAATTAGGTAATTCTTCATTCCGTTAATACAAGTAATTTTTTTTTAATTATTTGGTAACCAGTATCTCGGTTCTTTCAAAAACTGAATTGCAATTTTTGAACTTTTGTTCTGTATTTTCCTATAATCAGAACTTTTTTATCTATGGGAATAAATAATACATACATACACACACATCAATTTTTTTTAAAGTATACCAAAATGTTCAGAAATGTCTGAAACGTAAAAATGAGCATGAATGAGTACTTTACGCAAAGTTATTAATTGTATTTAGGTAATTTAGAATAAAAGTATAGTTTAATTAAAAAAGTGAACATTTGTCTATTAGAAAGGGCGCTCGATCAGATAGGGCCTAGGGCGGCAAACAGCTTAATCCGCCACTGTAGTGTGTGTGTGTGCGCGCGCGCGTGTGTGTGTGTGTGCGGATACAAATTTTCGTCGACGATTTCGGGAACACCGACCAACCGATTTGAATAATTCAAAAAAACATTCGACTTGTATTGATAAGGAGACGGGCTGATTAGTTTTTGGCGAAGGCAGGTCTAACTGTTCCGAAGATACGGGGCAAAAAGTGCCAAAAATGGAAACTCAGTTTTTATGAGAACGGAGTGTCAGATTTTAATAATTCAGAAAACATTTTACTTGTATTGACAAGATGAAGAAATGATCAAATTTTCACGAAAGCAGGTCTAGCGTTTTCGGAGATCTAATAAAAAAAGTAAAAAAAAAAGCCATTTGATGGTGAAAAATGACCATTAGACATATGCACATCAAATTATCAGATTTTTTATAGAGATTTTAACAATAAGTATAAATTTTGTTTACATTCCTATGGGTTCCGTACCAATGTTTATCCACTAGACGGCGACGCGCTTTGACTCTATGCAGTTAAAGCAGTATGATTGCTTTGAAAAAAAGTTCAGTATGTCCAAAATATGTCAAAATAAAGAGAACATTTTTTCTAGTTTTTTTTTTCAAAAAAAGTAATTATTTGTCAAATTTGTAGTTTCTCAAGAATCTAATTTTTTCGAAGTAAAATTTTTTCAAAAATGTTTATCGTTTTTGATAAAACAATAATTTTTGGTACGGGAAGTTCCAGCAATTTGCCTCAAGGCACGATGCCATGCGCCCCACTAGTTTCTCTCGCGCATCTACCAGCCCTCACTGGTGGTTCCAGACAACTTAGAGAAAGTCTTAACTTATTTAGACAAAAATATAATGATTTTAATCGCTAATAAATTCTTATAAAATTTAGATTCATTGAAGTTAAGAGTAGATTGACATGAATATGTTCAAATGTGCAAATCTTATGATTGAATAATAAGCATAATTATCATATATTACCAATATTTTTCAACATCCGCTGTAGATCTGAATTCATATTCAAAACGAGGAAAATCCTGTTCTTTGGTTAAGTGATATCCTGGTTCTGAAGATCTGGTGTCAAAAAGTACAGCTCGTTTGTTTAAATAAAGAAATACTTGATCCTTTTCCTTTAACTTCTGTGGTCCGAATTGGACAAGCCCAATATAACAAAGTTTTTGTATTATCTAAAAAAAAATGAATAAAGTGTATAACTAACTGAGCAATGTTTGTCAGCAAGTAAATTTGTTAATAGAAATTTATATACTTATAATGTATCAGAATATTCGTAAATATCCCAATAACAAGACCGCAATTTTAATTGAAATTAGTTTGAATGTATGAGATACAATTAAAATTATATTATAATCCATAACATTTTTTTTTGGCGATTTCACATGAGCGATTTTTAAAACATAGAACCACACAACAATACATATTAATAGAAATATTTTACCTCATGTATGGAAAATATGTATTTTCTAGCCATAGTTAAGTCATTTCTCAAATCCATAGGCAGATGTTTGATCAAATAATGTTTTTTTATTGGGTGATCTAAATAAGAATCTATGCCTGGCAACTGATACGAAATATTGCAAATTTTCAAAAATATTGATAATGGAAGTCTAAGCAATACATCGCACATTAATGTCCAACCCTTTGGCCACCCACTGTGTTTTGGCAAAGGTGGGATAAACATTTTCCAGGATATTTCCTTTGTGTAAATAGGGGCTAATTCAGATTTAATATCTGATTTCATATCACAACCCTGTATTTCCAAAAAATCGTGACACTCTTGCTGAGATAATGGTTCACCTAAAAATTTTTTTTTCTTGGTACATTTTAATCACAAGCTGTCACACTTAGGACATTTTATTTTTAATATTTTTCCTAATTTACCATATTCAAATAATATATTGTGTAACTGAAACCCCTAAGCAATTATACAGTCAATTTAAAAATTATTTATTGTTTAAATCTTGTGAGTTATTATAAATGTATTTACTTAAAATAGTTAATAATTGATAATTCCATCAAGTATGAACTGGTAAACTTACCAATTTCATCATAAATAAGGTGATATAGCAAATTATGAAGTATCTTCATTCGTACCAATTTTGGTTGATAACCATATTTCTTAGCAATTTTAACATCATAAAATATTGTTCTGTTTATTGAATTCGTTGCAATTTTCTTTAATTCATTTCTGCTTTGTGCAATTGTTTCACATGTAAAGCTTGGTTCTCTTTCAGATTCACTGTGCACAATGCCGGGCTCCTTAAAAAGAATTTTGACATATATATATATATATATATATATATATATATATATATATATATATATATATATATATACCAATGATTGAATTTGTCACACGTAGACAAAGACATCGATCAAATAGAGTTGTCAATACAACTAAATACTCAAAAAATGTGTGCATAACACTTTAAACATAAGTTTGAACTATTTCGAAACTTGTCAAAACGTTTTTGAGACCAACATAAAAAAAATTAATACCTCAAAGTTCTATACAATGAAACAATATGTGCAATTAATTATTAGATTATGTTACCAAAGCATTATGCATAAAGTGTACGTATATTCTTTTATATTATATGTTAGTATTTAAATTTAATATTACTAGATTTTTAAGTTATTAAATTATTAGTGTAATATTATAAATTTACTCTACATAGCCAATTGGCATATATAAAAATAAATAAATAAATAAATATTGATAATAAAAAACAATGAAGGAAGAAAACCATGGTATCTTGTACATTTTATCAATATTTGACCGGTATCGTATACTATATATACATATAGTGATATAAAGAAATTTAAGTGAGAAAATTGTATAACCTTCATTATTTTCACAGGCGGCGTAGTAAACATTTTCATTTTCGCTTGTTCTAGTTCTGATACAATTATTGAGTGGTTGGCTGTTACATCACATTCACAAATAAATGTCAAAATCTTCTGCTTTCGTTTGGATTCAAGTTTTGCTTGAATAATTTTTAGATACCCATCTTTAGATAATTTCATTAACATTCGAACCAAAGATTTTTTGTCAATTTTCACGAAATATCCTTCATTAACTTCTTCTTCCTGAATGAGCTTCATTAATTTTGATGAGTCTGTTATAACTTGATGTTCCCGAACACTCTGAATAATCATATTAGCTCTTTTCAATAACCTGAAAATATACACTTTATTAAAATTTTAAATGATGAATTTAATTTTTCTGAAAATTAATATAAAATTAATTGTATTTATTTTAAAATTGTTGTAAGGTTCTTTATATGATATGATTAAAGATAATAATCCAAAAAATTAAGTATTGTATAAGAAAAGAATTAAAATAAAGTCAATCAAATTATTAATGCAATTAGACTATATCACCTAAAGGATATTCCAGAAGTATCCTTCTTATTGCTATCACTGATACTCCAATCCATAGTATTTAAAGCATAACCTTTCACATCAGGATTCACCTGAAAATCGTTTTTCAAAGTAAATCATGGTAACATACATCATAACTATTTTACATAAAAGTTAAAATACCAAAGTGAATGGATACATTACATAAGATAATTTTTTATGAAACATTGCCATAGGTTGCAATTTAGGAAAAACGTATTTCAATACTAATGGCATGTTACATTCGGTTCACAAACTTTCATATTAAACACAGACTAAGTTCTAACCTTGGTTTCAATAAATTTAATTTCAACATCATCTTTTTTAGGGACTTCTTCCATTTCGGTAGGTGAAGAAGCTCTGACCGGATTTGAATTTTCATCATTTAACAATAGGAGTTCTTCAGTCAAGTGATCATATCCTAAAATTGGATCTTCAGATTGCAATACTTCAACCCCTTGTGTAATTCCAGTATTATCGCTTGGTGAAGATTGCAAAGCAGGTACAAACTTCTTTGTGGTTGATAGAAACTTTAACATCTTCTGCCTTTCAGATTTAAATGCCTCAGCCATATTGGAATCATTGAACTTACATGATACATATCTATTTAAATACATATACAATCAGATAAATTGTAAGTGTAAAAACATTAAAGCAATTATAGTAGCAGACTATTATAATGATAATATAAAAAGACATCACTAATAAAATTACAAATTAAAGTGAAACCAAACTTAAACGGCAAAGTTTATTCTCAAATTATAGTCATAAAACAATCTTTGTTTGCTACCTGGCTTCTGTCCTCAAAAATATAGATCAATAAGCAAAACATTTTTAATTAGCTGTTAACTAAAGTAATGTAAAATACTGATATTATTTGCAACTGTGAATCGCAAACTAATAGAATGAGCTGTAAAAATAAATGTAAAAATCAGCACATGTTTCCACATACTTAGATACTCTTTGTCTTCCAACATCCTCCAGCATTGTCCAAACCAATTGAGCTGAAAGCAGTCTTCTGCAAATCATCCTAGAACATAATTTCGATTGACCCATTTTCTTTCCAATTTCTGTTTGAGTTACACCAGATGGTCCAGCCAACTCAATCATTTGGTATGCTTGAGACAATAAACTGCGACTTAATGATAACTGGGAATAATCCATTAATCCTAAAAATGTTATAATAATCTATAAATATTATAATGATCTATAAATATTATAATATTAACATATATTGTATATGTGTATTGTTTTATATTAATTAATATCTGTTAATACTAACATAATAGTACATACTGCAATTTTTTCTATATTGTTTAGCAGTAATTAGTTAAACATATTTAGCAGTATCATCATAAATTTCTCGTATATTATCACTTAATTAAAAATATTTCTTTTCATAAATTTTAGGATGTTAATTACAAAACAAGTGCTTTCACCTGTTTCTTCACTAGTGGGTTCCTGATCTTCATCGTTAGTCCAAGAATCTAACACATCGACATCAGGATCGATTAATTGTAAAACACGAATTTGTTTCTCGGCATCACTGCCTTTCCGTTTCCATTCCGTAATTTTAGCATTCGGATACAATGTTCTATAAGGCAAGAGCTATAAATTTGAAAAAAAAATTCTACTCAATACGATTTGATCTTTACTAATTTGATACAATATTTTTTAAGTCTTTTCTAAATCCTCATAAATATGGATTTGTTTTTCAAAATTCAATAGGTAATGCTTAAACATGAATTTCATCCAATTATTTTTATACAATTTAATTAATGATGAATACTCACTACATCAGTTCTAACAAATTTCTGAAATTCACTAGTTTTAAACAATTTCTTGGTACTGCTTTCTAAACCAATTCTTTTTTTAATTTCATCATATTCAGCCATATAATTTGGTTTCTCTCGCAATATCTCTACAACCTCTGCTGTCATATAACAAGCTTTTGGTTTACGTTCCACGTAAAATCTTGGAAGATGCAATAAACTACCAGATGAGTTTTGAAAACCAGACTTTTGGTAATGAACCTATAAATATAGAAAATAAGTATTTTTAGTTTTGTTGGCTTGAACAATACCTATAATAAATACAGTACTTTATATATGAAGTGAAAAATGTAATAATTAAATAAATAAAAATAAAGCAAGCAAAATAATAAACTCACCTGTTTCATAATTAATTTATTTTTCATTAAAGTTTTTCGATGATAAAACAAAGATTTTGCATCAAGTTTCATATCTTGCAAAGATATTTTTCCTAATGTCACCTAAAAGAAGTTTCTTATTAATATATTTTATACTGGTAAAAGAGCTGGTTTTTGAAGTTTTCTTTAATAATAAAAATACAATATTACAATTTATTAATTTAATTATTGTTTTTTTTCTGTCCATTCATGATATCACGGAACTGTTATATCTTTTAGTGTGACTTTTATCCACAAGCTTTTAGAGTTTATTGATTTTAGAGTTATTAAACTTTTAGAGTTTATCAGAAATGATTGTAAAGCTTTTTAGTAGTATCCGTAGTTATATCCTGTTTGAACTTCTTTCGTTTAAATACCATTACATATAATGTTTAAATACCAATACATATCTACAATGTGTTATGCATGTACATCCTCACCATCCTCATATTTTTCAATAATTTCAAGTTTCAATTCAAGAGATACAACCCCTTTTTGTTACACCCATGGATATAAATGTAAATATTTTATAAATGTACAAAAAGCAAACGAACGCGAGCTCAACATATATTACGTTGGGGAAAAAGAAATCGATTATTAACTTGGCAAAGTTTTTGGCAAAGGCAGGTCCAGCCATTACGGAGATACCGAGAAAAGAGTGCAGAAAATACAAATCGAGTTTTTGAGAGAAAGGAGTATCCGATGTGAATGATCTAAAAAACATTCAATTTGTAATGATTGGGAGAAGAGGTGATTATTAACTTCCCGAAAGAAAAGTTTGTTTTCATAAAAAAATCGGATTCGCTAATTTTCTGTTTTCTCGACGTTTTAAGCCATTCTGAATTGAATGAGATCAAATTGTAAAAAGTATGTGTGTATGTGTGCATGTGTGTACACATTTTTTTGCCGTAAATCGAAGTTTTCTCAAAAATGGCTGGACCAATTTCAAAAATTTAAAAGTCATTCTATGCACCTCGATGAGGACTATTGTTTGTCAGTTTTGTGCGATGATCGACCACGCTGTTTCTTTATAAATAGCAGAAAAGTGAAAAAAAATTCTGAATCGATTGTGAAAATTCAAAAACCGTTCGAAAGATATTGGTTGGGAATCGTGCTGATTAGTTTTTGGTAGAGATCGGCCGTTTTCTAATAAAGTGTTTAAAAAAATTTTTTCGACGATTTTTATTATTATTATTTTGACGGTAGATACCGCAGTCTAATAGATCATACTAAAATATTACAGCCCTACGACAAGTCGTTCAATTTAAAAAAAAATCAAAGTTTGAGGAAGTGAGTTTTTTGACTTTTGTTAAAATTAAAATTAGACTCGTTTAACTTATAAAATTCGTCAATGTTTGCAAAAATTGGTATCGTTTTTTTGGCCTTTGTCAAAATTAGACATTTTATCGACGTTTGCTCAAAAACGCCTGAACCGATTTCAGAAATTTAAAAGCCATTTTATGTATCTCGATGAGGATTATCGTTTCTCAGTTTTGTGCGACGATCGGCCGAGCCGTTTCTTTTAATTTGGAAAAAAAAGTGTTAAACTTTTCGTCCTCATTTAAGCTTATACTACCAAATCGATTTTAAAAAATCAAACTGTTCGAAAGATATTAATTGGTAATGATACTGGTTAGTTCAAGGTGAAAATCTACCGAGCCGTTTTCTTGGAATTAACTGTTGAAAAAAAAATTTAAGCCGATTTTTATGGAATTTTTGGCGATATATCATGGTCTTATAGAACTTACTAAAATATTATTTAATTTACGACAAGTAGTTTAATTTTCAAAGTTTGAGAAAATGAGTAATATTTTTGACATTTGTTAAAATTAAAATTACACGATTTACTTGGTATAACGATAGATTACTTGATCTTAATGAACATACTGAACAATTAAAGTCCTACGGAAACTGGTTCAATTATAAAAATTATTGATTTTTGAAAATTAGTTTTTAGAAAATACTCCGAATTGACGTATAAATAAATAAATGCACTCGGAATACTTTTAATCACTCATAAATTAATTTATTTTTTATTGATTAAGTCGAATATTTACACATATCGGGAAGTTCATGTAACTTGTCTCAAGGCAAAATACCTATACCAACTACTTTTTACATGAAATTTCATTTTAAAACCTTAAATGATCAAAAACGTGTAAAACGAGTACCGTGTAAGACCGGAGATAATATATATATGTATATATATTTACTATAAGTGCATAAACATATTTCTGCAAAACACTATTTATCTCAAAAAAATTAACATGAATAATCAAAATAAATTGATATTTTTTTTATTATTATGTTTTATACCTCTCCCTGGTATCGAGCTCGTCCAATCCTTTCAAGAATACAGTACTGCAAAAGTGAAAGTTCTATATCTTCACAAAAATCACCGCCCATTAATACTTTGTTACGTGTTGGTTGATCGGCCACCATCACCAACTTCATGCCCCACCTTCAACATAATACAATAAAAATATTTGGTGTAAATAAGATTATAACCAAATAACCATGAGCTGAGTTAAAACCACAACTCGATTCAGGTAAAAATAGTGTAATTCAGGAAGAAGTATTTTCAATTGAAATATGGACATAGCTATGTACGTAATCCAAAGTAAGATTCAAACTCACAACCCTGGCCATTAAAGTATGCGAACTAAACCATTACTCCATGGAACATCCATATATAAATATATATATATGGTTTTGATTCTTGAAATCATATCGGTTCAATAGCATTTGATATCTTATCAGTCTGCAATGGTTCCCAGAAAGGTTTTGTATATATTAATTTAGATTTTTATACCAGTGTATATATTAATTTAAATCAGTGTGACTTCTTCTTGAAGAAGTAACTTGCTCTACTCAAACTTAAAAAAAAAGAGATTTAAACCCTAGAAGCCACAAATTAAAGAACAAAAAACTTAGAATTATTATAGCAGACTTTAAAAACAATTAAGCATAATTTGGTCGCAAGTATAAGAGTAGGAATTTTTGTGAGTAAACAAAGTACACGTTTAAGTAGAAATTCGATGTTCTCAGTTTCTTGAAATCATATTTTATTAAACAAAAGAATAATTGGAATGTTTAAAATTAATTAATTATAATTGTTTGGAACAGACAATACTCGAGTTTAGCTAATTGTTTTTAAAACTAAAATTGATATTAGCAAGTATGTATCAACATGTATCTAATTTTTTTTTAATTTAATGATTATTTTTTTTATTTAAAAATGTATTATTTTTATTTATTCGAAAACTTTCCTTTCACTATCATAAAAATATTTTCATTCTTATAATAGGTTCTATATATTCTTATAATCTCCCTTCTGCCTTTTTGTATTATCTCCCTTCTGCCTTTTAGTATTATTTATTTTAGAAACCAAGGGCAAAAAAGCGAAAGGGAGATATTTGACAACCTAATATGTGAAAATCATGCATGAATAACAAATAATTATTTTCAAAGTTATTTAATCATGATAAACTATTATTTTTTAGTTCTACTAATTAAAATTAAAATAATTTTGTCTATTATTTATAAAATTAAACAATAAATAAATTCAGTCAAATACTACTCTAAACTACACTAAATTTGAAATGTCGGTTTTTGTATAAACCCCATATATATATATATATATATATATATATATACATATAAATAAAGCGAGAGGTTTTTCAGATGGTGAAATATTATGATAAAGTTGTTCTTGGGCATCCATCACTTGCAGAACAAACTCCAAACGAATAACATGTCTTTATGATAAGAGCTTTTTTTAAAAAAAATATTATTTTATTTTTAACTCAATATTATATCAATTGGTCTTCATATCTTTGTGTTTTTGTGCTTTTTTCTTTAATTTATTTGTATGCACTGAAGATGGGTCAAATCGAGACCCGAAACGTATGATATTGAAATAAAATCATTTTTCTACAATAAAATCGTTTTCATTATTGGATGGATGCCCAAGAACAACTTTATCATAATATATCACCATCTAAAAAAGCATCTCGCTTTATGTATATTGTATAGCATTCTTTAATAATTATTGAGAATAAAAACTGAAAATAACTTAGGAACAAAATGTGTCCAAAAATAGAAAAACGTAATGTTAAAAGTTTTATTACGTATTGTGGTTCACTGGAAAATGTGCAATTTGTAGAATCATGATAACCCTAAACAATATTAGAATATGATGATGACCAACACATATTTTGTAAATAATATAAGTAGATATAAGAAAATAATGAACAATATATATATATATATATATATATATATATATATACCTTTTTAAAGCTTCATCTAAAGTCATTTCTTTAGCCTCCAATGTAATATTGACTCTGGTATTATATGTTGAGCATGATCCCATTATGTTATTTTTTTTGTCATGAATGGGATGATTTTTATAAACCACTGGTGGTAAAACAGCCTATAAATAATTTATTAAGTATTAATCAAATGAAAAATATACTATTATAATAAAAATAAAAGAATTCTTCAATATATTCTTTTTTTATAGAAAATTATTCTATTATTAACTTCCCGAAGGAGAAGTTTATGTTTTCATCAAAAAATCCGATTCGCTAATTTTATGTTTTCTCGACGTTTCAAGCCATTCTGAATCGAATGAGACCAAATTTGAAAAAAGTATGTGTATGTGTGTGTGTGTGTGTGTGTATGTGTGTGTGTGTGTGTGTGTGAACAGATTTTTTGCCGTAAATCGACGTTTTCTCCAAAACGGATGGACCGATTTCAAACATTTAAAAGCCATTCTATGTATCTCGATGAGGACTATCGTTTCTGAGTTTTGTGCGGCGATCGGCCGGGCCGTTTCTTTGTAAATTGCAGAAAAGTGAAAAATTTTTCGTCCACGTTTTAGCCCGCAATTCTGAATCGATTTCGAAAATTCAAAAACCATTCGATAGATATTAGTTGGGAATCGTGCTGATTAGTTTTTGGTAGAGATCGGCCGGGCCGTTTCCTTGTAATAAAGTTTTTTAAAAAAAAATTTCGACGATTTTTACGACTATTTTTTTGACGGTAGATACCATAGTCTTCTAGATCATACTAAAATATTACGGCCCTACGACAACTCGTTTAGCTTTAAAAATTCGTCAAAGTTTGCAAAAATTAGTATGGTCTTTTTGGCATTTGTCAAAATTAGAATTTTCATCGACGTTTTCTCAAAAACGCCTGAACCGATTTCAGATATTTAAAAAGCATTTGATCTATCTCGATGAGGATTATCGTTTCTCAGTTTTGTGCGACGATCGGCCGAACCGTTTCTTTGTAATTTGGAAAAAAGTGTTAAACTTTTCGTCCACATTTACGCCCATCCTACCGAACCGATTTTAAAAAATCAAAAACTGTTCGAAAGATATTAGTTGGGAATGGTGCTGATTAGTTTTAGGTGAAAATCAACCGAGCCGTTTTCTTGCAATTAACTGTTGAAAAAAAGTGTTAAATTTTCGTCGACATTTAAGCTCATCCTACCGAACCGATTTTAAAAAATCAAAAACTGTTCGAAAGATATTAGTTGGGAATGGTACTGATTAATTTTAGGTGAAAATCTACCGAGCCCTTTCCTTGTAATTAACTGTAGAAAAAAAAATTTAATCCGATTTTCGTGGAACTTTTTTTGGCGATATACATCATGGTCTTAGAGAACTTACTGTAATATTACGGCCTTACGACAAGTAGTTTAATTTTAAAAATTCGTCAAAGTTTGCTAAAATTATTATCGTTTTTTTTAAAGTAGGATTGATGAAGTATATTATTTACACATTTTTTTGATTAAGTCGATTATTTACACATATCGGGAAGTTCATGTAACTTGCCTCAAGGCTAAATACCAAACCAACTAGTTACAATAAAAATAATAGAATTCTATAATTAATTGTATAAAAATTAGTGAAATCTTTAAGTAACTTACATGAATTTATAATAATGTGAGTTTAATAATACAAATGACAGTTTGATAATAACAGAAAAAAGTAAAAAAAACTCAGTATATCTAGATCAAGCAATGGCTTTAATCAAAGCTATTAAACATACTGGTTCCATAACTGTTCCCAAAAGTGGATCCACTAACTCATATCGATCAAATAATACGAAACGATTTCGTTCTTCGGGTAATTCATAGATTTCAATTTCTTTTGAAGCCTTTACATAACACCAAACTTGGCTACATAATTGTTCTGGCAGAGGTAACGGCAATATAAGACGATCTGATAATCTAGTCCATAAAGCTATAAAATAATTGAAATCATTAAAATTTATTGTCCTAGAAATATAATAGTACACAAATTAAATATATGAAATCATCCTAAATTTGAATAATTAACTGCTCCTACTCAACCCAGTGGAGTTTTTTTTTATATTATTGTAGTTAAATTCAATTATAGTACTAACATAAGTAATAGTAGACTCATTAATTATTGTACTTGCTTATGCAAATAAGTACACTTTCATCTAGCAATATCTAAGAGCTGAAAATTATTTTGGTAATGGCTTTTTAATGTGCAGCGTATTTACTTTACAAAGATTATAAAAAACATATAAAAGCAAAAGAAATGGTGTGCGAAAAAAATTTAGTATGCCAGAAGATTTCTTTACTTTCAACAACCCTTTAGAGTATCCGCAAATCATAAAAATGACACAAATGTATTTCTCAAATCAACCCAAATTGTGGATAAAATAGAATGAATTTACATAAACATTTGAAGACTCTTTGAACATTTTTTGATTCAAAAAAAACTAAAGGAATGAAGTTAGAACTGAACACATTTATATAATATTTTAATTTTGAAAAGTAGAGAGTAGTTGCAATTCAATGACGTTGTACATGTTATACATCAATGTAGTATTGTACCTAAGAATAAATTTAACAAAATTTATTATACACACTTATGTACAAAATTTATAATAAATAAATTAAAGTACATCTATAGGCAGCATTGAATTTAAAGTAACATCAAACGCTCCATAGTTATAGTAACGGTAAACTAATTATTTTCTGAAATCTATTCTGAAATAGCTACAATAGAAATGTTTCGACTATTAATAGTTATATATAATGCTACTAAATTAATTGAAATTTTCTGAATAATGTTATAATAAACCGACCTTCGCAAGTTATGCCATCCAAACCCTCTAAACTTATTTCATCAATAACAGATGATCGAATGCTTGTAAATTGATTATACATTTTAGCACAATTTTATTTACAAATAACCATAATTTCTCGCAACGATTACATTTGAGCTTGAGAACTATTATGTTATGACTTCTTTTTTCCTAAAAAAATAACAGTACGTAAACTCCGTATCTTAAATTTATTGGTTATGTTTATAAATTATGACAATCGTACGAGCATAGAAGCATGGAATCATAGATAGAAGTCACATGTAACACTTACCCAATCGACATTCCCGGCAATGTCCCGGCTTATTTATCTATGAATGTGCTCATGTACCTAAAGGTGCGCCACACCTAACGAACGGGAATCTGTTTTTGATATGCGCGAGGTTTGCTTTTGCTTGCAATAATTTAGTCTGCGCACATTGCGAACAGATTCGCCGTACGGATTCGTGCAATGGAGCGGGCCATTAGATTAGACGACGTTGTTACGTTGTTTTTTGTTTATATATGTTTGAATGAAATAATAACAAAATCTAATTAATCGGACTTATTGTTAGAATCATAGATAAGGGATAGGTTATCAAAAAATGAACATATTTTATTTCAAATGCATCAATTTTTCGTTTGCGAAATATATGCACTGAGTTAACAATTTTAAATAGTTTATGTCATAGATAAACAAATATAATGGTTCATGTAGTATCAACTATATAAACATAAAAAGTATTAAAAAAATTTTAAAAAAAACATTACAGACGTGGGATTCGAACCCGATCAGTCTTCACTTGCTTAGGTGCGCCCACACCTAACGAACGAACATGATGAATAATATGCGCAGATTAAAAATTTCTAACAAAAGCGATATGAGTGGATCTCTGCACTTTTTGCTCTGTATATTCAACACGACTAGACCTGCCTTCGCCAAAAACTAATCAGCACGTCAACTTATCAATACGAATCAAATTTTTGAATTATTCAAATCGGTTGATCGGTGTTCCCGAAATCGTCGACGAAAATTTTATTTTAACACACACATGCGTCCATTTTTTCTAAGGTATGCCAAAATATTCAGGAACCTTTGAAACGTAAAAATATATAATAATTTTCATTTTCGATTTTTTTGCGATTATTATAACTTACCCTACGGGAAGTTAATAATTAATCGTTATTTATTCTTATACTACACGATATATTATGTCTCAAGTCGCTGTAGTAATTTTCCAGTAAAAAAATAAAAACTGTAATTGAACTTGGCATTAGCATTTTGACTGAAGGTAAATTGCATGAATATCCCAAAATGTGTTTAAATAATCGACTTGATCAACAAGAATTAACTTATTATTAAAAGCAACTTTGAGTTAAACTATTATTCAAGCTCGAATTTTCAAAATTTTCAAAATGGTGCAGCTGTTATTTAGAAAACATGGAAAAAATGTCAAATTTTGTGTTACATGCACGCATACAAAATATTTTTTTCTTAATTTTGGTTTCGATCGTTCAAACGATTCAGAATGCCCTAAAACGTCGTGAAAAAAAAATCCTCTTTCAACAAGTTAAAAATAATATTTGAATAATAATTATGCATAATACTTGTTCCAATGTTTGTTCTATTTAATTATTTAATCATATAGATTTATGTGAATAAGCGTTATTATTTTCTTTGTAGCTTTGATCAATGTAAAAAATCAATTGTATTCATTTAAACATATAGTATATGATACACATTTCAGTGGCTCTTGGTATAAGCAAAGCAGCAACTTGATTAACAAATTTGATTACCATTTGTGAATTAAAACAAGAAAGACAAGTTACTGTAATGATTTTCATCCACTACATTTTGAGATAAAATCATGCTGAGTTGAAGAATTATTTATGTCTGAAACACTGATATACTATATATTTATTACTGAAACACTGAATATACTAAAATCCAACATTTATTCAATTTATTTAATCTGTAGACTTTAAAGTAAAGTATATTTAGAATTTATATTATATAAAATATATAATCTATCTAATATTGTTTTAGTCTAATAAAATATGCATTCATGTATATGATAACTCAATTATTCAGATGATACATGTCCATATACATCCATAAACATCATTTATACCATTATCCTATAAATTGCATCATAGAGTATTTTTCAATCAGCAATTCATATTCACTTAGAAGATTTATTGTATACCCTATGATGCAAAGCCTATATAGCGTATATAAATATAGATTTTTGTAATAATATAATTGATGTTTCACTAGTATAGCACAAACTCAATTTTTAATAAGCAAATCTTTGTGGTAGTTTTTCCCATAAAGCTACTCTTACATAAAAAAATACACTAACCTTATATTTTACCTGTTTCTTGAAAATGATATCAATTAACAATACATTAAATATCACATTCAACATAATTACATACATGAAATTGTTCTTTAATAATCTTGCTTATTGATGATTTAAAATGGTTTTGAATTTTGCAATTCAACAACTCTCTTAAAAAGTTATTAGTCTACAGTTATAATCAAAGGTTTCTAGAAATTTATCATATCAAAGTAATTTTTCAAACAATGCATATCAGAAACCTTTTGTAAGAATATCTGCACTTTTTAGAATATATATGTATATACATACATATTGCCAATCAATTTTATGATTAAATTAAAAATACCAATATCAATAGTAATCAATTTCGAGCTGTCCAGCCTCTCCAAATGCTATATATACTTGCGGCAGCAGAAGTAACTAAACCTCCAGCCATACTAGTGGCCTGTTGAGTGCTCATGGCTTGTTGTGGAGGTGAATGTGATAATAACCCAGTAATATTATCATTGACTTCGACCAAGGGAACCTAAAATAAAGCACTTATTACTGTAAATCTACAACAAAAAGCAGATTACCAATCAGCAGAGTTAAAAAGAATTGCTTTATAGTTTAAATGGATCATAGTATTTAAATCAATTTTTAAACAAAAAATAAATATGTACTGTAAGAATAGCAATGATTCATAAAAGTTATTTATGAACTGAATAAAATAACTTATAATTAACTGTTGAACAAGCGTTTAATCACTCTGTTACTGAAAAAGTTATTTATTAATAAACATTTAGATTATTAATATTATTAATGATATATCGAATTCATCTTGCAAATATATATGATCATGCCCATAATAATTAAAAAAAATTGAAAAAAATCAAAAATAAAATTATAAGTTATATTTACATATCCTTATAATTTTGGCATGACAGTTAAAATATGGAATAAATAACATAATCCATCAGATTATAACAGCTAATTAAAAATAATCAGTATCATCTTATTACTTGGAAGCACTTTATAAAATGAAACATACCGCTTCCCATTCAGGAGGTAGATTATCACCGTCTTCTGAGTTAGATTCATCCCCATTAGTTCGATCTCTAACTAACTGAGAAATTGCTGATGCAGTTAGCCATGATTGAGGCTCTAATGGACCAACTCTAAAAAAGCAGGAGAATGATAACAATAATGATCCATAAATAGCACATTAAAATAATTTAGTTGTAAATTTGATATTCACTTAATTATTATTTGTTTGTTCATTTTAACTCAAAATAACAAGTTTACCGTCCGATATCGCTAATTTCAGCATTTAACAAATGCATAATGTTTTGAAGAGTCTGCACAGGATGAATGAGTTCCGAAGAAACTCCTTGAGATACACAAAGGCACAATACATTGGAATTGAGCCTAGCTACACGACGTGAAAATTGGCTATAGGTCATATCGTTGCTGCAGAAATCACTGAAATAGTTATTTTTGATGTTAACAATATAACAAAATAAATATAACAAAAAACCTAATTATTTTGAAACACAACATAAATTTAGAAGTATATCAATAATTTTCAAATATAATAAGCTTTAATTTTTATTCTTAGTGTATTTTGTAAATAATAATTTGTTTTTTCTTAGTACTCTTTTAAAAATAAATAAATAGGTATCATATTTTTTTTAATTAATATACAAATCAATCATTTTAATATAGAAACAAAATTTCTAATAAAAATCTAATTTTGATTACCTATACATCATCTTGAAAGGCATTCTAACATCTAAATAGTATGCTAGCACATGTAATAGTTGAGCAGTAAATGTTAATCCTGCACTTATTCGAAAAGCTGGATTCTGAGCTACACCTTCTGTATAGGATGATGATGGTACACCATCTTTATTAGCTGATACTATAAATCATAATCACTATAAATAAGTAAAATCTTTATAACACCTTTTATTGATTTTAAAAAAAAAATACCCCAATCATTGTACGCCATATAGTTTCCTGTGCCAGGTAGACAAGGTGCTACAATACAGTATTGTAGTTCACTGGAATGTGAACTGTCTGTAAAAACCCATGTCCCTCTAACATATGATGTCCTTGTAGCCTCTGCTAATGCTGCAACTGTATCCTAAATTTGGTATGAATAAATGATATTTTTAAAGATCAAAATTATATAATTTCTTAGAATATAGTAACATACTTGTGAAACATCTTCTTCTGTTCGATTCAATTGTGGATATATAGGAGTTATAGGAAATATATATTTTAAAAGAATTTTTATATTAGTCTTAACACAATCTTTTAACACAGTATAAGTTTTTTCAATTTTCTTTTTTTGCATTTCAAGATCTTCATTTTTATCCTGTAAATACTGCTGCAATTTCTCAACTCGATCACCATATTTAGGCAACTTTATTCGCAATTTGGTATTATGCTCTTTTAAGTGTTCTAATTCAGTAAATCTTCTTTTTATGATTTCACGTTTATCACTCACTATTAATTGCAATAATTTAATACGTTCTTTTGTAAATTTAAGATCAGTTTTAATATCGTTCAGACTTTTCTTTTGTCTTAAAAAATCACAACACTTATTTTCTACAATCTGTCTTCCAGATTTAAACCTAATATATCGAAGTTGTTTATCACTAAATCTGCAACACAGAAATAAAATTAAATATACATTTATGTACAAAATTTTGAATAAATTTAACATATAATATATTGATATTTATTAAAGATTTATCAATAGAATTAATGTGCGAAACAAATATTCAACGTATTATAAAAAAGACAATATTGAATTACAAGTTGAAAAAATGTTTGCAAATCTCACCTCAACAATTGCACATTAAAATTAATGACAATAATAATATAAACTAATTGTCCATTAAATTTAATGATCAAATAAATATTGACTGAAGAATTGACTGAATGAATTGTTTAAAAAACTTTAATATTTGAATATTATATACCAATCAAAATTATTTTAGTAAGTAATTATTTATAGATATACATATGTCTATGTTGGATATGATTAAGCAACAGTAACAGTAAACATATTGCTGATACCTCTCAGAGAAGTGCGACGCTGAATGAACGAAATCGCCTAATCTAATACATTGTTTGCAATGAAACGTTTTTCTACAATTGTTACATAAAATACACTTTTGGCCATTAACACTTAAACGACTGGCACTGTCCTCAATTGAAGAAGATAAATGAAAATCTCTTGGTGCTTTATAACTGTCATCTGAACTACTGGTAGCCATAACAAAAATAGCTCACAAATGTCAAAATCATATTGGCCTAGAATAATCCATTTTGAAAAGCTACCACACTAATAAACTTGAAACTGATTGGCTCTAAAAATGCATAGAATAATAATACTTGGTAGATAGTCCTCGGAACTTTTGTTAGGCCTAAACCCATCTTTTATTATCTATGAATACAAATCATATTACATAAACTTCTAACGCAATGTTTGTACATTTGCCCTAGCTGTAAAAATATTTATTTATTTATGTACGGCACAGTGCTAATTCATAGTAAATTCCGCATTAAGTTAATCCATCTATGAGTTAGGAGTTGTTGAATAAATGACAGCTTCATTCTTTAAATGCAATTTTGTTAGTTGGTACTGGTTAAAAAGACGTGGTCTGAATTACACAAGTTTTAACCATATTTTATCAGAGAACACGCGGCCTAGGAACATAAGTCTATGTTGTAATATAGCGGCACCTCAGACAGTTGTTAAGAAGAGATTTAAGAAGCAGATCAAAGAAATTAATATGAAGTCTACCAAGAAAGGTACCGGTGATTCTAAATCTAATATTTCTGAATTACAACCGTGGCCATCATATATACAAGAAAGACTTACCTTATGGGATAAATTAAAATCTCAGTATGACGCAGAATTACTAGCGAAACCAGAAAAAACTATTGTTATAACTTTACCAGATGGTAAAACAATTGAAGGATTGGCTTGGAGAACTTCGCCTTATGATATTGCAAAAGGAATTAGTCAAGGGTTAGCTGACAATACAGTTATTGCAAAGGTCAATTCTGAACTATGGGATCTAGATAGGCCTCTAGAATATGATTGCAAATTATCTTTATTGAAATTTGATGATCCTGAAGCCCAGCAAGTTTTTTGGCATTCTTCTGCCCATATTCTTGGAGAAGCTATGGAAAGAGTTTATGGAGGATGTTTATGTTATGGACCTCCAATTGATAATGGTTTCTATTATGATATGTTTCTTGAAGACAAAGGAATTTCTAATTTAGATTTTCCATTTATTGAAAACTTAGTTAAAAGCATTGTAAAAGAAAAGCAACCATTTGAACGTTTAGTGATGACAAAAGAAGATTTACTTAAGATGTTTGAGTATAATCCTTTCAAAGTTCGAATTCTGAATGAAAAAGTCGATACCCCTACTACAACTGTATATCGTTGTGGTCCTTTGATTGACCTATGCAGAGGACCCCACATACGAAACACAGGTAAAGTAAAAGCATTAAAAGTCACAAAAAATTCAGCTACTTATTGGGAAGGGAAGGCAGATGCAGAAACTCTGCAAAGAATGTATGGAATATCATTTCCTGATAATAAATTAATGAAAGAGTGGGAAAAAATTCAGGAGGAAGCAGCTAAACGCGATCATCGTAAAATTGGTAAAGAACAAGAACTTTTTTTCTTTCATGAATTATCCCCAGGATCTTGTTTCTTTCAACCAAGGGGAGCACATATTTATAATACACTGGTGGAATTTATTAGAAAAGAGTATCGCAAAAGGGGGTTTCAGGAAGTTGTTAGTCCTAACATTTACAATTCAAAATTATGGCAAACTTCTGGACACTGGGCTCATTACTCTGAAAATATGTTTTCGTTTGATGTAGAAAAAGAAACATTTGCATTGAAACCTATGAATTGTCCTGGACATTGTTTGATATTTGATAATCGTACACGTTCCTGGCGTGAATTACCTCTACGATTAGCTGATTTTGGGGTCCTACATCGCAATGAATTATCAGGTGCTTTGACAGGCCTAACTCGTGTTCGCAGGTTTCAGCAAGATGATGCACATATTTTTTGTGCACCTGAACAAATACGCCAAGAAATTACTTCATGTCTCGAATTTCTTAGGCATGTTTACAAAGTGTTTGGATTCACTTTTCAACTAGTGCTATCCACACGACCAGAAAAATATCTTGGTGACATCAATGTGTGGAATGAAGCAGAAAAAGCACTAGCTGATAGTTTGGACAGCTTTGGTGAAAAATGGAAAGAAAATCCAGGTGATGGTGCATTTTATGGTCCTAAAATTGATATTACGATTTTAGATGCCCTCAAAAGGGCACATCAATGTGCAACAATACAATTAGATTTTCAATTACCTATCAGATTCAATTTGTCTTATGTAAGCGAAACCGGAGATAAAAAAAGACCAGTTATTATTCATAGAGCAATATTAGGTTCTGTTGAACGAATGATTGCTATCCTTACTGAATCATATGCTGGCAAATGGCCATTTTGGTTATCGCCCCGTCAAGTGATGGTTATTCCTGTTGGTCCTTCATTAGATGCATATGCAGAGGAAGTGAAAAATAAACTATATGATGCTGGATTTATGGCAGAGGTTGATACAGATGCTGGTGATACTATGAACAAGAAAATCAGAAATGCACAGATTGCTCAATTCAATTTTATTTTAGTTGTTGGTGAAAAAGAGAAAAACAGTGGTACAGTTAATGTACGTACTCGAGATAATGTTGTCCATGGTGAACTTACAATTTCTGATTTGATTAGTAAGTTCAAAAAACTATCTGAAAATTATACTATCAATGAAGATGTTCTTCTGTAAATGCATTTTATTTTATATTTTTAATTATATTTATATTTAATTAAACTAATTTTAGGATATCAACTTACCAATGTAACAACTTATTTCAATTACATATATGATAAATAATAGATTAAAAGATAAGTGTAGGCAGGAATTTGGTCAGCAGAGGGTAGACTGAATCAAATTCTCATAACATGTTATGTTATTTGAAGGGGCTACTGATATATATATACTTATAATTCTCACATCTTTGTATTTTCTTGCAGTTACTATACAATTAAAAATTCAATGAAATAGATATATGCTATGCTTAATTGTGAATCTATTTGTATGCAAATATTTACATAATAGACTTGTAGTAATCTAAAAGAAATAAACAAGTTTCTCTCAAAATATCAATAGCATAAAATCATTGATCTTGAATAGATAAATTGAACATAATTGTTAAAAACATACAATATGTATATTTATGGTGTACTTTGTATTATATCAGATTGAAATAAAAAAACAAATAAAGATAATATCAAGTTCTTGTTTTTTATTCTTCTGCTGATAAAATACATGTTATAGTAAACATATAAACAATTATTTAAACAAAAAATTATACCTATAATTTGTTTCAGTGAATAGAGATGAAAATTGGGATCAATATATACATGCATCAAAGTATGTAGAAATATAAACATGCAGTATACAACTGTTTATGAAATATTCCACTTATTTGCAGATTTACTCAATCACATTTACTCATCGATATGTAATAAGGTCTATGCATTTACTGCATTTTGTTTTTCAATTGAATAAAATAATCTAATTTTATTCATCAATTGCATTTCTTAAATTGTTAATATTTAATAGTTTTGAAGCACATTTATGAAACAAGGTCTTCAAAAATTAATATATTTCTTAAAAAAAATGGCTTTAAAAGTATTGAAATGCATTTTTTGAAAATGTTAACTGTAATTAACATTAATTGAGATAAATGCTAAATATGTTCATTGTGTTAACTTTACAAGAGTAATTCTATATAATTAGTTTCATGCTCTACTGAAATATTTTAAGTAAAGTTTAAGAAACTTATTGTTTCTCATAAGTTACAGCTTTTAAATGTGACTGCAACTCTTTATGATATAATATTTATCCATGGTTAAATGCATTTATCTGGGAAAAGTTGCTATAAATGAAAATAAATGTAAGATGCCTACTATTTAAGGAAATACATAAGCAAATATATCATTTATTAAATATGTATATCATTGTTCTAAAACAATATTACATATGTATGACAGTTACATGTTTTATTTGTGAGTGCATACATAAAATAATACCCTTTTACTATTGTCAACACAAAAACTCAATATAAATGTGTGAGTATTTCTGAATTTTACCCAATTATTGAATATATTTTTAATTCTTTTATATCAAGTCGACCCTGCCAATAGTATTTTGTTATATCAAAAATTTAAAATAAAATCTATAATTCATTTTAAATTATAGTATGTAAATTGATATTGGAAGAACATGAAAAGAAAAAAATAGCATTGAGTAGTAGCTTTTTTATCCATTGAATTTCAATTTTCATTTAATTCAAACATTGCAAGAAAATGTTTAGTTTTGTGAGTATTTACTAATACTATTCTGTAAACTATAATTACAAACCATTCATCCGTTAGCTCAGCTTGTCAAACTTTCAGAATTTACAACTTGCCATATTTTATTAAATAAAATATATCTTTGGATTCATATTACAAAATGTATAAAAAACAACGTACAACACATCATCGCGATTCGATTTTAATAACTAATTTTGTTATTTTAAGAATTAATATGTTCATAATGATTTATCCAGGGACTTAGGTTAGTTAAAATATATAAAAATTTAATTTTATATACGGTTGGCGAACGTGGCCCCTTGTTGCGCCATACTTCTTTCAAGAGTCATCTGGCATTTGTATATGTATATAATGGTCGTTAATAACGTTATTTAGGGTTATTTATTTTAGTTTTGTCTCTTGCATACTTGGTGTTAGAGTTCTTTTAATAAATTTATTTAATTAAGCATTTTAATTTTTTTATTTAATTTTATTATTACTTGTGGTATAATTATTTTATTTTAGATTTTGCAATAATTAATTTAGTGCTATGGTTAAGGTAGGCTAATCTTCTTATAACAAATAGCAAGCATATTCATTATAATATATTATGATATTTTATAACTTACGCATTTTCATAAATAAAATAGAATATCTCATATAAGATCTACACCTGCTCAAACGATTTTTGCAAAAATTTCAGATGGCTGATTCTGCTGTTAGTGTACAGGTGGCTTTAAGGATAAGGCCTTTAGTGGAATCCGAAATTTCTAAAGGATATGTTAAATGTCTCGAAACAGTGCCAAATGAACCTCAAGTTTTAATAAAAGATCTTTCGTTTACTTACAACCATGTATTTCCACCAGAAGTTTCGCAAGCCGAATTTTATGACACTGCTGTTAAGGGTTTAGTTGATGGATTGTTTAAGGGTAACTTATTTCTTCTAGAATTTAATTTTGACATATCTAACATAACTTTGGTGTAGGTGAATTTATCTCTCAATATCTATAATCGCAAATTCTATTTTTACATTAATCTTCAGTATCGTTACTTTTTTATTTATTATTTTGTTTAATCTAAAAATATATTTTAGGCTACAATGTGACAATATTAGCTTATGGTCAGACTGGCTCTGGAAAAACTCATTCCATGGGCACGGCTTATTCAGGTGGGCCAGTCGAGGAGATGGGTGTTATACCAAGAGCAGTAAAAGACATTTTTCAAAAAATTTCAACTCTGAAGGAACAATATGATTTTGGATTACAAGTTAGATCAATATAAACTACTTTCCAAATATTAAAGCAATAAATTTAAAGTGTATAGTTAAGGAGCATATGGGGTTTAAATGAGAATTAGAATTTAAAAGCCATAACCTTTTTACACTGTAATTAGGGTTTATTTGAATATCCATAAATGGTCAGAAATTAAACATACCAGATTTACAAAATTTTTGCATTGTGTTTGTGCTTCTGGATGTTTGGTTGAATATAATTGTTCTGCACTCTTTAGAAGGAGTGTATGGATTGATTGGCCTTGCTATTTAATATAATTTGCTTTTAGAAATCATAATAGAAATTATAAAGATAATAATAACAGTGTCATTTCTTCAGTAAAGTAATTTCGCATGTATTCTACAGGTATCATTTATGGAATTATATCAAGAACAATTATTTGATCTTTTATCAAAATCAAATAGAGATCAAAGTATAGTTGATATCAGAGAAGATCAACAAAAAGGAATTGTAATTCCTGGATTAACCGAAATTAAAGTATTTAATGCAAAAGATACATTAGATTGTTTAGTTAGAGGATCTCATCGCAGAGCTGTAGGTGCAACTGCTATGAATAGTCAATCCAGTAGAAGCCATGCAATATTCACTATCCATATACAACAGCAAAAAATCAGTGATGAGTAAGTAATATTTAGTAATATTAATAAGCTTTACATTTTTTTTTTTGTTATTAAACACTGAATCTACTAATGATGAACGAAAATAATGGTTTTTGAATTGTTCACTAGTGTGCTAGCTCCGATACCATACATACAAAGCATTTGTGCAAAAATTATGCATGTGTGTGTATATTAGCTTTTTTTTATCTCTTGTCGACGTTTTCACAAAAACGATTGAACTGACTTCATAATTTTAAATGCCATTTGATGTAATTCGATTATTAATTGGTCCTGCGACAAGAGGTTTAATTTTAATAAATGCATCAAAGTTTGGAAAAATTTGATACCAGTTTCTGTCTAAGTCCATTATTCCACATTTAAATGGCTAAATATTTCCTTTTTATTACTAGAAATAGTCTAACAAGTTGCAAGTTCCATTTGGTAGACTTGGCAGGATCTGAAAGAGCAAATAAAACTAAAGCAACTGGTAATCGCTTCCGAGAAGGTGTAAAAATTAATGAAGGATTGTTAGCTCTGGGTAATGTCATATCAAGATTAGGCGAGGGCTGTACGGGTTTCATAGGTTATCGTGACAGCAAATTAACAAGACTACTTCAAGGTAAACTAAAGCTTAGTTAGAAATGGCGTTTTGGATAAATGAAAATATGGTCAAATCATTTCAGACAACAGATTAATGATTTGAATAATTATAGAGAGAGAGAGATGTTGTAAAAACTGCAATTTTTATTGTAAGACGATAAAAACATTCAAAATACGCACATGAAATTAGAGTATTTTTTTTATAGAGATTATAATTAAATATACCGGTTTTATTCCGTTCAATACCACTATTGAAAATTTTGGATACTAATTTTTATACGTCAAGCAATAAACAAAATTATAATAGCATTAATAATATGTATAATATTTAAGAGCAATAATGTAATTAAAGTCATACTTCAAATATGAAATGATTGTAATTAGCATTTAGAAATGAACCTTCATTAGAGAAATGAAGTAATTGCTGATTAATAAATTCTATAATATTCCTTCACACAGTGGATTATTTTAAACAACGCCTAAACAAATATTGTTTTCGCAACTTTACTCATCATGTAATTGTGTTTGAAGAACTTTGTAATTAAAATTAATATACATTCATTGACTGCTTGAATTTTGTAATTTTGTAATTTTGTATTTCTCTAATCTCATTCTTAGAATAGCTGTAATATCTGCCTAAAAAATATTTTCCATTTTAATAACTTCAAAGATTTATAGAAACTATGAATAATATAGAAATAATTTCTAATCAATAAACTTATGTTTTGTACACGGCACTAATGTTTAATTTGTTTTATTATTTTCAAGGAACAGGGTAAAATATTCTTCTGATTCAGGCATTTTTCATTAAATCAAGATTTGTACTACGATGTAACATTAGCATGTTTATTTATCTATGCCGATTTTCTGGTTGATATCGGTACGCATATAACGTTGATGTCGCTACTCATACAACGACAGATTTCTATTCATATACTCGACGACTAATTACAATCGACCCGTATTGAAATTATCTCATCGAGAGCGAATGACGAACAGTTCGGGCGTAACGGTCTTTCGTTGCATTCGTACGGATTTACACCCTAGTCGCGCCTAAAGAAGTTTTACTTAAAAAATTATAGATTATTAATGATGTTTATGTAAGTCGTGTAAAATATTTGTGTCATCATTAATAATTTCTAATTTTTATATTTACTATTTTCAATTCATTTATCTTATTATCTTCAATAATTTAATCTGTTCTATCATTTGTTGATTTTAGTATGCGATCGCGCACTCCTTTTTTTTACGTTATAATAATATCCATCCTTGTCCCTTCATCTTCGACACTTACGATGTGTTTTCAAATATTTCTGTATATATTCACATGTTTAGTACTGCGTCAAGCATTGTTGGTGTTTTTTGTTTTTCAAAAATTAAATATAATTTAAATAAAATATTAATGTATTTGTTTGCGCCAAAATATATTCTATGGATATACAAAACATATTGTTCACATTAAATCAAATCATCCGATTTATGATATAACCAAAATAAGAATCAATCAAAATAAAGTCAATCAATACGATACTCAAAACATTGAAAGTAATACAAGTATAATTTGTAATAAATTTAAAATAAACACATAAGATTATAATTAAAGTGTTTTACAACAAATTGGTCCTTCAAAAACCAATTCAATTGGAATGGTTTCGAACCTCAAAGATGAGGCATACAATGGTTTCGAAATGTCTGTAATTATTAAAGTGTGTGTTAAAAATCTGAGTGTCGTATTTAATATTCGTTCCACTTACATCACAAAATTCTATATATCTATATATATATATCTTCTATATATATAAAAATAAGTCGGGTTTTCCTTCCTGACGAAATAACTTCAGAACGCACGAACCGATTTCGACAATTTTGCATTCGTTGGAAAGGTCTCGGGCTCCGCAAGGTTGTCTAAGAAAATTAGTGGTGCATGGCATCGTGCCCTAATGCAAATTGCTGGAACTTCACGCATCATAATTAAAAATTCGAGTAATGAAAATAATCAACAATTGTTTAAAATAATTTCAAATTGATTATCTACATCTACATATATATAAAAATAAGTCGAGTTTTCCTTCCTGACGACATAACTCCAGAACGCACGAACCGATTTTGACAATTTTGCATTTGTTAGAAAGATCTTGGGCTCCGCAAGGTTTATAGCTAAGAAAATTAGTGGTGCATGGCATCGTGCCTTAATGCAAATTGCTGGAACTTCACGCACCGTAATTAAAAATTCAAGTAATGACATTAGTGAGAATTATCAGAATTATGCTTCAAAAATTGCTGGCGATTTAGTGACTTACCAATGATTCCGACTGGTCTTTCGTTTGACTTCAAACGATCGCAATTTCCAGTTCGCCTTGCCTTTGCGGGATAAATTTCAAATAGATTATTTAGAAAATCATTGTTTTTTATATGGGCAGTTAAACGTTGCCTGTTCACAAGTTGGGAAACCATCCGCTTTGTTTGTGTTAACGTCAGACCAAAAAACAAAAAATGTGGTTTACCAAAGAGCATTTCAATGAAACGGATAATTTGCGGATTCACTTTCATTTACTTAGAGAAGTTCATCTAAAAAACACTTCATTTTTGTAATCGAAATAAATTCATTATATATATTATTATTATATATATATATATATATATATATATATATATCGTACGGATATATATGGCATCCGTTATATGCCATATATATCCGTACGACATACGAGTTGTTTCGATACGAGTTTAATTCATTCCTAAACCACGCTCGTATCTGTTTGTCATGTGTAATATATTTTCAATCTCTAGATTCGCTTGGGGGCAATTCTGTTACTTTGATGATAGCTTGTGTAAGCCCAGCAGACTATAATTTAGAAGAAACAATTAGCACATTACGATATGCAGATAGAGCAAGAAAAATAAAAAACAAACCAGTTGTGAATCAAGATCCAAAGGCTGCTGAAATTATAAGATTGAAAAACACTATTCAGCAATTGCGAATGGAATTATTAGGAAAGGGCACTATACATGAAAATGGAGATGGCGACAACAAAAATGAACTTGTACTGAAATTGAGACAAGAGGTTATAACATTTTGCACAATAATTTACTTTTATATAGAATAGAGGTTTAATATTACAATATATACATTATATATTGTAAAGAAAAATTAAGAAACTTGAAAAAATTCTAAAAGATTATTATTTATTTATATAATACATACAAATTATATACATTATTCTATTAATTTCAGATAAAGGAGTTACGATTCAAAAATAATAATTTATTGAAAGCATTAGATTCATCAGTAATGGAGATTGCATGCTTGAATGAGAAAGTAATATTAAATGAAGCATCAAATGAACGAATGACTCATAAATTGACGGAGATGCGAGCAATTTTTGATGAAACTAAGGGAGAGTTAAGCACAAGTGAAAACTCATCTAATAATAGTACTTTACATAGAATTAAAGAAAAAATAGATGAAATGCAGGTTTGTTTTTGTATTTTATATAACTGACAATTCAAAAAACTCTGCTTCTAATGATAAGTTTGAGAGTGTTTTTTGAATTATAAAAGTATAGAATAACATATTTATTAAAATGAGACAGTATTAAATCCATTTTTAGAAAGAACTAAAAAAAGTTTCTACTGATATTTTGGACCATGATATTGAAAAAAGACCTGTATCAGAAGTGTCCAGTAAATGTAGTGGTATTCAAGAAGATCTTCACTTAGAATCGTCTGAAAGCATTACTGATCTTGATGTAGAGGAACAACAAGATAACCATTTATCTCAGCAGGCAGCTTTGACAACAGAGCTCCAACAATTAAATAAGGAATTGGCTTGGAAGCAAACATTAGTTGCACAAGTTGCACAAAATCATATGAATTTAGCTGAATATCAAGTAAATATAAGAGAAAATGAAGATGTCATAATTAAACTTCAGAAGGAGAGGGACGAGCTAATGATGCAAATAAGAAATATGCAAAGTAATGCTTCGTCCAAATTGGCTGAAGAGAGAAGGAAACGTGTGCAGGCTTTAGGTTTGTTTGAATAAATTATTATTAATATAAAATATATAAAAGTAATAAACATATATATATATATATATATATATATATATATATGTCAGTCATGTCAGTCATATGTACCTGATGCTAAGAGGTTCTACACGAGCCATTTCATATGCAACAATAATACAAAAATTTCCAGCACAAACAATACATTAGCAGTATGTTGTATGTTGCATATAAAACTGATATGACTTATGGTTTTCCCGACTATAGGACCATATACGTGTGTCATAAAAACTGATGTTTTTCCAGGAATTTTGGCAAAGACAAATTTCTTTGATACATTTTTAACTTTGTAAATGATCTAATGAAGTTATTATCATGGGGATTAAAGTGTTATTTATTATTATTTAATGTAATAATTTGTAGTGTTCATTTACAATATACATATTGTTTTTATAGTATTTTTAAGAAATAATCACTTTATATATAATTAAACAAGTTCTGATAGGTCTGAAAATATTATAGTCTCTGTTTGATAAAATCCTAGATCAGTAAATATGGTGTTTAGTTCAGAATAAAGTGTGGTGCATGTAACTTAACAAATGTGATTTGTAGGTTGTGAATAATGTTTCAGTAAAATTAATATTTTGCAGAAACCGAGATTGCAGAACTTCAGAAAAAATTGATACAACAGAATAGATTGCTAAAACTAAAAGAAAAAAATGATCAACGTATAGCAACTTTAAATAGTGAAATCCAACAAATCAAGGCCAGCAAAGTAAGATTTATCAAAATAATATGACTTCATAAATATAAAAGAAACATTGTTTTTCTTATATAAATATTATTTTAAATTATATATTCTGAAAAAAAAATCTTCTAGGTAAAATTGATAAGGACTATGCGTGCAGAATCAGAAAGCTTTAGAAATTGGAAAATTACACGGGATCGTGAAATGGCAAAATTAAAAGATCAAGATCGTAAACGAGAAAATGACATGGCACGTATGCAACAAATGTTTGGCAAGAAGCACAACGTTCTCAAACGTAAAGTTGAGGAAACAATAGCAACTAACAAGCGTTTGAGGGTAATGAAATATTTAAAAATACTTACATTTTTGCAAATAAGTATTGTAATTGTGAAACTTTCAATGTAACATAATGCAGTTTTATAATTGTTTATTGTTATCTTTATAATTTCAATTTTGATTATTGTTTAACAATCAAATATGTATGAAGTTATGATCTTTAAGTCTTGCCTTAAGGGGCTATTCTAGTGTAGAGTGATGAATTTTAGGTCATTTTTAAAGTGTCGTAAAAAAAGCAATGAATGTTTTTACTATCCATTTTTTTTACCACTTGTTTATTAACATTATTTTATTATAAGCCATCCGAAAGAAAATAAATGTCGCAATGGCCCGAACTAGCAATGAGTAAAAAATATTTTTTTACAAATTGGCGACAATTTTTTAAATAGAGTAAAAATTGGAATTTTTGGATGATGCTAGTTCTGGCTACAGATAGGTCTATAAACAAGACTCTCTGAACATTTCAAGTGAATTGGTCGAGTAGAACTCGAGAAATCATGTCAACAGTACTGAAAAAGCCTGTTCTGAAAAAAACGCATTTTTGAAAGTTTTGCATGAAGTTTTTTGCTGTCAAAGTCATAAAATGAAATGTTATACTTCTTTTATTTATTCTGCCATTCCTGCTTCATGCATCGAACCTTTTTCTACTTCAAAAAAACTATTTTCTGCATTTCTCTCTTCCAATCGAGCAGTTCTATCCTTCTTTGAGCCTCCTTTGAAGCGTTGGATGTACGTATTTCAGATCGTTCGATCCGGGCATTGTCTCGGGCACAGCAAATGAATGAGTTTCTGGCCCAATTTGCATTACCATAAGGGTAATCATTTTTAAATCGGAAAGAAACCTTCATTGAATATGCAAACAGCAATCGGGAATGAATATGTTTCGGCGCGAAAATCCAAATCAACGAATTCATTATTGTTCTGAGTTTCTGAACCTATACTCCGAATTAATAATTCATCTGATAAACTGTCTTAAATTGGTCTAACGACTTCCTAATGCCTTTTGTCCGGTAGACCCTGCCAAACCAGTTTGGAGACCGCGTCAGTAAAATGCCTATATCTCCGAAAATAATTCAAATTTTCAAAAACCTTCTCGTACACATATTCTTAGATAGTTAAACTAAGTACTTAGAATTTGTACACTAGAATACCCCCTTAATCATGCAAATGATTACTTCATTTATTTTTGATATTTGTTTTATGGTTGCAGGATGCATTAGAGAGACAAAAAAATGCACAAACTAGAAGATTACAGATTGGCCCAGGCAAGGTATGAATTATTTATGAAAACAAATGCTTATGAATAAAATCATTGAACAATTATCTTAGATTGAATGGAATTAGTTTATTAATTAATTGTTTTTTCAGGCTGACCAAGTACGTGCTTGGGTTGAACAAGAAGTGGATGTAGCATTGAGCACAGTGGACGCCCAAAAAACACTTGAGCAGTTAATGGAAGATCGTGCTTCACTTCAGCAGAAATTAGAAATCATAAAAGCAAAACCATTATCAAATAATGAGAATGAACAAACTCCTAATGAAGAAATCGAAAAGGAAAGAAAACAGCTTCAAGATGATATTTCATTCAGAACCGCACAGATTGCTGATTTACAAGAGAAAATAATAGCATCAGATCAGGGTAAATATTCTTGAAGAGTTAGAGTTCAACCGAAAAACCAATTTCCATATTTTTATCATCGTGAATGGGAAGTTTATGTTTTTTCCAAAATATCCAACTTTATTAATTTTAAGTGATTCTGAATCAAATAAAAAGTATTTGTGTTTTTTCAAAAGGGCTGGACCAATTTCAAAAATTTAAAAGATGTAGCTCGATAAGGACTAGCTTGTCAGTTTTGTGCGACGATCGTCCAAGCCGTTTCTCTATGATTAGATTGTAAAACTTTCGTCCACGTTGTAGGCCTTAATCGATTTTAATAACTTAAAAATTGTTTGAAAGTTATTGGTTGGGAAACGCGTTGATTAGTTTTTCTGTTCCTCATAAATAAATGTTGAAACAAAATTTTGACAATTTTGATGAAATGATATAAACATATATCAATGGATATTTGAATTATAAAAAACCATCGAAGCTTAGATATTCACCGCACGGTAATCTATGCCGAAGCATAGATTACATTCCATGTTTAGTACGTAACTACTGATTACAGTTGACGTTCAGTCAAATAAACTACATTTTCAGAGCACAAATTTGATGAATTGAAGGAAGTTAAACAAATTAATTTAAATTACAGATATTATAAGTATGTTTGAAAGACATTAATTGGAGATAGTATTGATAATTTTTGAGTGAGCAAACATGTTATTTTTAAATGATAATTGATCATTTCACCTAAATATCTAAATCTTCGATATTTACCTTAAGGTAAAATGTTTTATTCACATTTTTTAACTATTTCTATTATTTTAGAAAATAAAGCAAAGTCGCGATGGGATATCGTTCAATCTCTTGGTGAAGCTAAATATGCTCTAAAACACTTATTTGATATGATTGCTGAATCAAGACGTTCAGTTGATGCCCATAAAGGTATTTTTACAATCAAATATATTAATCTGATATTTTTATAGCAACAAAAATATGTAAATATGTGAAAAAATACAACTTTAGTATGGGAAAGTTGAAATAATTTTCATTGTATCTGCTTAGAGCGCAGTACTGAACTGGAGGATCAGCTAACAGAAGTAGTGGCGAAAGTTGCTCAATGTCAACAGGAAATGGATAAGCTGCGTGAGCAGCATAGACATGAATTGGCTGAATTGGAAGGCGAAGGGGAGTACAAAATTTCAGTCTTACTTCGTCAATTAAGATCTAATGGTTCAAGTAATACGAAAGATGAGAATGATTTGGAGCAACGAATAAAGTTCCAAGAACGAGAGCTGGAGCGCATGGATGCTGTACAAGCAGAGTTGGAAAACTACAAAAAGGAAGTAGAAGAGCTCAGGGAACAGTTGCAGGAAGTAAGGACATATGGAAACAGAAAGGATATTAAGAATTGTAGAACACCTGAGAAAAAGGCTAAGAAAATGAAACAAGATCCAGATCATCTTAAGCTGGATTTCGAGCCAATGAATTTATCAGAAAGTGATGAAGAGGTTTATGCAGATTCCGCTGAAAATGATCCCGATTTTAGACTAACGCCTATATATAAGCGAGTACAGTTATCGAAGGTGAGTGAAATCATATCAATCAGTGAAAATTTTTACTTTTGATTATATAAAACGAGTGATTTTTTTTACAATAATATTTGGGTTAAATGATGCTTAAAGATTTATGAGCGTACTGGATTACATTAAAAGCTTTGTTTCTCCAAATTCTTATGTATGCTCGAAATGCATTGCAAAGTAATGATCTTAAGAATATATCATTTATATAATTAAATTAAAATTAAAGCACAAGATATATATAAATAACAATATTTTCAATTACTCTCTAATATATTATCAAATTAGTTGGCAGTGGTTTTTCTCTCTCTGATGGTATCAATTGATTTTTAAGGTTTGCAATGTGGTTGATATATAAAAAATCTTTTGTTATTGGATAGCAGACAAAAAAAAACGGCAGTGTAAAAATTGGTTTGATAAATTTTGTTCTGGTGGTTTTTCACTCAAATATAAAAACCTCTGGTCGCCCAACTAGTCGATTACAAAGTAAATAATTATCTACTTTTACTCATACCTTCCAGCTGAACAATAAATTCTGAAGAAAAATTGATTACAAAAGTGACCTAAATTGACAAATTTCCATTATTTGCATCACATATCTTTGGTCACTCGGCAAAAATTACTAGACCATATAATGCTGACCTTGCTTTTCCTAATTACTTTTTGTTTTGATCTTTACAAAACTCCTTTAATGCTAAATAATTCAATGATTATTCTTGATTCAGTTTTTTGTTAATAATAACCAGAAGTTTTTGGAAGTGGGATTATGCTTGCTTGAAGTAGCTTAAAAGATGACAAAAATCAGCGATAAAAATGGACAATGCATTTCAGAATAAAGTTATTTAGTTTCATAAAACAAATGTTGATTTTCTTCCGCATTTATTTTAGTTGCCAACATGATATTATATAATTATGTTTATAAGTTTTTTTTTGAAAAACTTTCCTTTTGCTCAATTAATTTTTTTTTTTGCTCATATACAGACACTGCCAAGGCATATGCGAGTGTCAGCAGGTGTTAAACGTAACAGCAATGGTGAAATCCAATGTAACTGTAAAGGTAAATGCCAAAACAGATTATGTGGTTGTCGCAAAAACAACATGAAATGTAGTAGCGCCTGCAAGTGCTCAAAAGAAAACTGCAAAAACATGGCAGAAGAAGAGGAGGACTTTGGTTCAAAGAATATTAAGGAGGAGACTCCAGATAGTATATGCATATCAGTACCTAATAACACCAAATCAGATACTAGTGAATGCAGGTGATATGTTTTTTCTTAAATATAAGAATATGTTATGAGTAATAATACTGACAATATTTTCAAGATTATTACTCAAAAGACTGAATTAGATGTTTAATAAATTAGTATAAAAGAATCAACATTTAAATGAGAAGTAGTTATAAGTAATTTCATGAATTTCTTCTTAGATTGGAATAATTAGCAACAAAAAATGAATTGTTGATCTAATACATTCCATTGATTTTAAATTTCTAAAAATAATGATTGTTATTAATATAATATTAAATCAGTATTGCTTGTTATTGTAGATTTAATTTTTTTTTTAATGTGAAAGCTCTTTTTACGAAAAATGTATATATAGTTAAAATAGTTTATAGATAATTTATATATAGCTAAGAATTTTAAAAAGTAACTTGAGTTGAGTCTTAGAAATTTTTACTAAACAGCATATAAAAAGCGCAAAGCAATGGTTTTAAAGGTCTTTTTGAAAAAGATTAGGCTTTGATTAGTTTTAAGTATTTTGATATCAAACTGTATATATATATATAATAGTTAATAAAAATAAATCTATTTTATTGAATGTATTGTTTTTGTTAAGTTCTTTTGATGTCTGTTCGCCGATTCAACAAAATCCAGGTCTATGGAATTTCATTGTTTAGTTTCAAACGCTGTCAGGTGAGCACTTTATCAATAATTATTGAATTAAATCATACTAAGAAAAACTTCATCAAATCGACCAAAAATGGTTTAAATAAGAATTACATTTTTATATGTTTAAAGAAATTCATATAGGTAAAACATTGATTTCGGTACCTGTTTAGTTAGTTGTTTTTTTTTCTTCTTCAAATAATAGTTAATATTTAGTATTAGATTTAATTTCTAAAGTATAACTGTACTTTTGATTTGATTTATAGATTTAGTGGAGAAAATGTATTATATTGAAAAATTTTCTCCGCTTAGAAGAGGAACCAGTGCCGACATACTTTTAGTATGATAACACAAGAGCTATATGACAAACATCATAATGAAATGGTTAACAATGTTATATGTAAATAAGCATGTGTTTTAAAAATAAGTTTATAATCACAAAAATGTGAATAAAACATTTATATAAACAGCACTAAATGAATTTCAATCAAACTCACAGCTTAATAATTTTTCTTTCTTTATTCTATTTCCTTTCCATAAGGTTAGTTAGATAATTAAATTAAACAGAAATTCAGCAATCCTGAACCGATTTTAAAAAATTGAAAAATATCAGTTGGAAATCGTGCTGATTAGTTTCTCGTAAAGATCGGCGGGGCCGTTTTTTCGTAATCAATTGTTAAAGTATTTTCACGATTTCATTAATGAAATATATATATATACATATATATAGCAAATGGCTTTAAAAAATAACTTAAAAACTCATTAAAGTTTGAAATTAATGTTTATGACGGCGATTATTTACACATATCGTGAAGTTCATGCAACTTGCCTTTAGACAAAATGCCACTTTCTCCTAGTTAAAACTCGTTTTATTAGTAGAACATCGATTGAAAACTAGAAAAATAAGACAACTAAAAGGCGACTATTCAAACAACTGTTATTAAACGGAGATAATACATTAACTTATTATTATGTTTCGAAATATTTAATAAATGAGTATACTGTATAATGAAACATAGTAAAACTTACCATTGATTTCGCTATTCACATCATTAGTACTTTCTGTCAAATATTTGTTGGATTATATTATATATCTCAAACGCGAAAACTTCTTGAGCGAACACATGTGCATGCTATGAACTGACACAAACTGACAACTTTACGACAATGTTTTAGCTGCAAGACAGGAAATTATTGGTGGGGATGAATCAATGGTTGCTTAATAAATCACATTTTATTATTTTACTAAAAAAAAAATGTTTCAAGATCATAGATAGTTAAGTGGACAACATTTAGATAATTACGTTTCGGATACATCTTTACGTTTCAAAGGATTCTGAACATTTTGGCATACCTGGATAGATGTGTGTGTGTGTATGTGCGAATACAATTTTTCGTCGACGATTTCAAGAACACGGATCAACCGATTTGAATGATTCAAAAAACATTCGATTCCTATTGATAAGGAGACGTGCTGATTAGTTTTTGGCAACGCCATGTCCAGCCTTTCTGAAGATACGGAGCAAAAAATGCCAAAAATGGTAATTCAGTTTTTGATAAAACGGAGCATCCGATTTTAATGATTCAAAAAACAAATTATTTGCATTGACGAAATGAAAAACCGATTCTTTTAGGATTTAGTAGATCAAAAAATGCCATTTGGCGGTCACAAATTAGTGACCGCACATATGCACATCAAATAATCAGATATTTTTTTTATAGAGATTTCAACAATAAGTATAAATTTTGTTTACATTCCTATGGGTTCCGTACCAATGTTTATCTGTTAGACGGCGACGCGACGCTTACGATCTTCGATATTTCGTCTCTATGCAGTTAAAGCAGTACGATTGCTTTGAAAAAAAGTTCAGAATTTCCAAAATATTTCAAAATAAAGAAAACAGTTTTTTTCAAAAAAGGTAAATTTTTATTGAAAATTTATAGTTTCTCAAAAATCGAATTTTTTCATAGTAATTTTTTTTCAAAAATGTTAATCTTTTTTTAAAAAAATTTAAAATAATGCCATGCGCCCTATTGGATTTTTACTACTAATACACCTGCTTTTTGTTGTGTTGCTTCTTGCAACACCTATATTAAATAGGTTGATAAGTTAATGTAAAGTTTTGTTACATTGTAAACAAATTTCTATTATGTAATTCATGCTATATTCATCTGTGAATTAATTGAATATGCAAATGTATCTAACTTTAATCGTTCTCAATATTTACTTTCCGAAGAAGAAGTATATTTTTGTTCTGCCGATTTAAAAGATTTGATGAAAGCCCATAGATAAATGAGTCTTTTCTTATAATTAGCAAATTTATAAAAAATCATTTTACACAAAAGGTATCAATTTTTATTTTCTGATGCTTACTTATACAAATCTACTTCTCATTGAATTTTACAAAAATGCACATTATATGTATATAAAATAATTATATTAAAGTAATAAAAATATTTATATAAAAACCTTAAAGTAATTGAATATATTAATATAAATATGGATATAGACACAAACTTGTAAATAAATAAATAAATATATATATACAATATAATATATATATATATATATATATATATATATATATATAATATATACAATCTTATTATGAATGTATAATGAAGTAATTAATATAATCTTCGCTGAACACAGTCACCAAAGTAATTATAAAATATTATTGTATATATTATGATACTTTAAAATATAAATTCTGCATGACTAATCCTTAATAAAAAGTAAAGGCTAATTAGTTTCACTTTACACACATAGTAAATCAAAAATGACGTATGCATCTCATAGGTGTATATATGAAACTAGTTTTAAAAGAAATACTACCAGTACCACAATTATAAGTATTTTAAAATTTTTCAAAAATCTCTAAATATATAAATAATATTTAATAATCCTACATTATTTGGAATGTTTAAAATGATTCGTTTGCTGTGCTAAATATTATAGGATACTAACTTAAGATATTTCGCAATTAAGATATCTCGTTGTTTAAAAGAAAAAAAAAAGTCAACTTCAGTTAGATAGAAAAAATATTATTAATGCATAAACTTGCAAATAATATATTCCCAGAATGCATTTGCTTAGAAAAAAAAAAACAGTTTATAAGTTTTGTTAAATTTTAAGTACAAAGTTGAAGTCTTTCTGTTGGAGATTATAAGTTGTCATATAAACATTAATAACTATTAACTGAAATATTCGGGACAATAATATGAAACATTGTGTATGCATGAAGTAGAAAGAAAAATAATATAAAAAATCAAATCATTTAGGAATGGTACTTATAAAACAAGAACTCACTGCAATCCTATGGGCTACAGGAAAGCTAGATTTTACATTTTATTTTACATATGTATATATATATATATATATATATATATATATATATATATAGATAAATATATATAATTAGAGTTGGGTAACTTCCGAGTCAGATATATACGAGAATATAACACCTCTCAACCGACTCCACTAAACGGGTTCTGATTTTGTTAACATTTACAGATATTTGCTTTTTACCAATACAAAGAAAGAAGCGGTTGCTTTGTATCAGGATACAAAGTTTTAAACAAATATAAATTTTATGTGTTTCATTTTTTTTAAATTGTTAATTCAAGTATGTAATATTATCATTTCAATTATAGTTTATTTATATTAGCTTTTTAGCTCATAGAATGCGATTTGATTCAGATTGTTACAAATAAATGATATTAAAAAAAGTAATATTAAACATTTCATTATTTAATATAAGTATTTCCTTTGATCTTGGTTTATTTTTTTGATATTTCAATATTGCATCAGATAGTATTATTTAACTTCCTATAGGATAAGTTATAGTATATCTTTTGGATATCTTTACTTTTCAAAGGTTTCTGAATCCCACCCCATTTGAAGGATTCATAAAACATTGCACTTATAATGACTGAATGAACAATTGGTTGAATTATTAAATTGGCAGATCCAGTGGTTTCGAAGATGCAGAGAAGAAAGTTAAAAAAAAAATGCTATTTCATGGGCGAAAAACCATGAGTGGATATATGCATATCAAATTATCAGATATTTTATAGAGCTTTTAATAATAAGTACCAAGCTTTACATCTTTTAACCACTATAATGCTTAGATATTTCGTTTCTAAAAGAGCTACGCATCGCGATCGCTCTGTAAAGTGGAGTCATATTCTAACTGATATGATAGGGCTATGGATATAATGACCCCAACTCTAATAATGCATATATATGCATACATAATGCATGAGAGCATATGTATAAAAATAAAGATAAATGTAAATTTTTTTTTTACTTGATTGGCCTTCATTCCTATTTTATATGATTGGCATCAATGCAATTATTTTGTTGCCTCTGGAGGGCAATCTGGTTGGCTAGAAGGATGCGCTGCTCGAAAAGCTGGATGTGTCTCTAATTCACGGTCAATCCGCAATATTATTGGAAAAGGACGCAAATCAACATGAAATCTAGAACATACAATTTTTTAGCAACTACATACTTTTTTTTTATAAATGAGATCTGTCAATATTTTTAACAGTATATAAATTATATAAAGTACATAATGACAACTATACAATTTATGCTGCTTATATTTCTGATTTACGTTATTCATATACATGCAATGAAACCACACTTTTAATGACAAAAAAACTAATTCTTCTGATACCACTGGGAGCACACCGCAAATAAAATACAGACACATTAGTCATTTGAAAACTACAGATTATTTACTACTATTAACAGAGTGCATTAAAGCCAACCAACCTGCGTGCATTAAAGACTTGTGGTATCAAGCAGCAGTCAGCTAATGTAATTTCATCTCCAACGCAATATTTTCCAGCAGATGTAGACAAAAGTTTTTCCACAGCTCGGAAACCTCTAGTAATCCAATGCTGTGCCCATTCCTTTTTCTTTTCTTCACCAACATAGATCAATACAATTAAGTTTTGTAGAGGCTGAATTCCTGATGAAATTACCTACAAGTAAAAGTAACAGAAACAAGTTAAGAAAATAATAAAAGTTGACAGAATATTTTCCAACAAGTTGATAGTACAACAATGTTGAAAAATCATTTTACTTGTTAAAAGCATATTGCAATCTAATACCATTTCATTACTGTGACAAATTACGAAATTTAACTCTTTCGACTCGGATGCCGCCGCTCCGGCTTATCTTAATTGATTATCTATCGATATTTCATCACAACAAGAAATTTACTTTCGGGTTAAAAAAGATGGTTATTGTAATTAATCTATTGTAAAAAATATATAACGCCCAGCTACGTCCGTTGCAATTGTGCACATACAAATATATATATATATATATATATATATATATATATATATATATATATATATAATTAGAACAATAGTAAAATAATTCTAAAAACTCCTATTTGTGTTTTAAATATTATTCATAATCAGTTTTGATCAGTTTCATTAATAACGCGTTTGGGTAAAGGTTAGTAAATTTCATAAATTATATTGCTGAAAAACATTTGAAATGCCAAAAAAATTTTAGAAGATGAAATTGAAAATGAGTTGCAAAGTAGTGATGATGAATTTTATATTGACGCGCTTGATAATTATAGTTTTGATAGTGATAATATTAGTGAAGAAAGTGACTCTAATATTGGTAGTGATATTATAGTTACTATAAAAGGCAGACTACAAATTCCAGGTATGTACTTGTAAGTTATCCATATATACAGTAGAAAAATAATGGCATTATTGAAGTTGTTCTGAATATGGGCCTGATAACTGTATCTACTCTCCAAAAATATTGTGTTTTTAATTTTTTGAAGTAAAACTTCTTTAGGCGCGATATGGGTGTAAAAATTTTTAGGCGCGACACGGGTGTAAATCCGTACAAATGCAACGAAAATGCCAACGTGTAGTTGAACACTACGACGCCGTAAGCGCTGATGTCGCGAGTATCCACTCATATCGCGTCATGTCATGCGTAAGTCGTGCGCTAAACCCTATATGAATTGCATTAATTGAATCACGTTTTTATGTTATGTCCTCATGGAATAAGACTTTTCTTAGAGAATAAATGTGTCATGGAATATAAAAATTTATACTGAATCTCGTTGAAGACAAAATAATATCTACTGCCACGGATATTTATGTAGGTTGCCATGCGACAGATCAAACAATCATACATTCGTCAGCAGTTTCACAAAAATCGGTTATTGATACCGGGGCTTTGCCGTACGAAATAATTTTAGTTCTGAATAAATTTTACATAATAACAACTAATATTGATGTAAGTGATGGCTTAGCTAATGGTTGTGTGGGAAAATTAGTGTACATAGAACGTGGAGATAATGATGAACTTCTACGTTTATGGTTTGAATTTCCCGGTAAGATAGGTAACAAAATTAGGAAGAAAGCTTCACATCATATTCAAACTCTTAAATCAGTAGGGCAGCTGTGCCGATGCTCAGGAGATCTTATTATTATTGATGTTATATGATTATTAAAAGATGATTTTTAAAATTCAAATATGATGTTTTTTTTTATTCTTATCTTAATTGCCTACTCATACAATATTAAAAGTTTTACTTCAATCGCGTGTGATCCTTACGCGCACTCTTTTTTTTAAATTAAGTTTTTATTCAGAATTTAATTGATATGATTTTTGTTAATTAATTTTAATAAACATATGTGTAAAAGTTAGTTTTTTCGAAATTCCATATTTTATTATCATACAAACTGTGTTTAAAAGCAATATTACCGCATTTTGAAACTAGTTGGTATTGGTATTTTACCTTGAGGCAAGTTACATAAACTTCCCGATATGTGTAAATAATCGACCTAATCAATGAAAAATAAATTAATTTATGAGCAATTAAAAGTATTCCGAGTGGATTTAATATACATCATTGAAAACGAACGAACACGTTAACTCGGAGTATTTTCTTAAAGCTAATTTTCAAAAATTAACAAACGTCAGAAAACTACTCATTTTCTCAAACTTTGATGATTTTTTAAAACTAAACTACTTGTCGTAAGGCCGTAATATTTCAGTAAGTTCTATAAGACCATGATATATCTCGCCAAAAAAGTTCCATTAAAATCGACTTATTTTTTTACAGTTAATTACAAGAAAACGGCTCGGTAGATTTTCACCTAAAACTAATCAGTATAACTTCCAACTAATGTCTTTCGAACAGTTTTTGATTTTTTAAATCGACTCGGTAGTATGAGCTTAAATGTGGACGAAAAGTTTAACACTTTTTTCCAAATAACAAAGAAACGGCTTGGCAGATCGTCGCACAAAACTGAGAAACAATAATCCTCATCGAGATGCATCAAATGGCTTTTAAATTTCTGAAATCGGTTCAGGCGTTTTTGAGGAAACGTCGAAAGATCTAATTTTGACAAATGCCAAAAAAACAATACCAATTTTTGCAAACTTTGACGAATTTTTAAAGTTAAACCAATTGTCGTAGGGCCGTAATATTTTAGTATGATCTAGAAGACTATGGTATCCACCGTCAAAAAAATAATAACAAAAATCGTTGAAAAAATTTTTTTTAACACTTTGTTACAAGAAAACGGCCCGGCCGATCTTTACCAAAAACTAATCAGCAGGATTCCCAACCAATATCTTTCGAACGGTTTTTGAATTATCATAATTGATTCAGAATTGCGGGCTAAAACGTGGACGAAAAATTTTTCACTTTTCCGCTTTTTATAAAGAAACGTTTCGGCCGATCGTCGCACAAAACTGACAAACGATAGTCCTCATCGAGATACATCAAACGGCTTTTAAATTTTTGAAATCGATACAGCCGTTTTTGAGAAAACGGCGATTTACGGCAAAAAAATCTGTTGATGCACACGCACACACACACATACTTTTTCCAAATTTGGTCTCATTCGATTCAGAATGGCTTGAAACGTCGAGAAAACGTAAAATTAACGAATCGGATTTTTTGATGAAATCATAAACTTCTCCTTCGGGAAGTTAAAAATCTCACAAAAAAAAATTCCGAGTTGAAAGATATGTAGAGCACAATAATATACCGAGCGCAGCGCATCGTGGAGCAGTCAGACTCCCGAGTGGAAAGTGTTAAAAGATATTAAGTTATAGGTGCTAATTAATAATGGTAGGGAATGACTTGCAACATCGAGTAAATATAATATTACAGCAAGTTGGAGTCCTTGTGAAAACAAACTTCGCATTCGAGATATTAAAAAAATACAAAATAGAAATTGCAGTAGTTAGAATTACCTCACAAATTTCTCTGCATTTGGCTCTTTTGTGAACATCTTGAGGCATGAGTGGTCTTTGTGGTCTAGTTTCTTCTAAGTAATGCATAATGCTTAAAGATTCAACCAATGTATGGCCATCTATATATAAGTCATTGTTTTTATTATTCTAATACCAACACAAAATTCATGAATAATTGTAATTGTAATATTAGCACAAAAAAACTGGTTTAAACTCCTTAATTAAATAAAAAGAATGTGTTTTATTTCTATTGAACTAAAATATAGAAAAGATTTTATATATGAAAAAATTATTCACTTCTTTATTTATATTTTGTCACTTGACATGTGCAATCATTCAAAAAATTTAACTAGTAAAATGCAAAACACCAAATTAGAACATATTTTTTTATAATTGAAGAGCAGTTAAAACCAAACCATAACTACGTTTTTAAAACAACATTCTAACTATTTTGACAAAATAATTAAAGAATTATCGAAAATAATCACTTATGAAGGACTAATCTGGCTTTAGTTTCATAAATGTAATATTTTGAACTTAACTTTACCTATATGTAATGCTGGAACTTGCTCCATGGGATTAACATCTCGATATTCATTGCAATGCTGCTCACCCCCAGCTTTAATAAGACTCACAGGTTTTATATCATATGGAATCTCTTTTAAATTCAATGCTATTCGAACTCTCCAAGAACAAGAACTGCGCCAATATGAATAAAGCACAGGCTAGAATAGATATTATTGGGATTATTTATATAACTAAGATACACGGATTTGCTATTAGAATTATGATACTGTATGAAATTTCAACTGTTAAGTAGTGCATATAAAGACTGCAAAATTCTAAACAATTATATTTTGCAACGTCTATTAATATGTATAAAATATTTAAAAGTAAATGATGCAAATGATGAAAACCAAATGCTTAGTTACAAAAACAATCAATAAGAAAAAACTGAAGTTTAAATTAGTTAATAATTATTTACCAAATTTTCCATGATTATTATATGATAGCAGTAAAGAATGCTAGTCAATAACTAATTCCTGATTTTACAAAACAGCGTACTTCTATTTCAAACCGGTTCCATAAAGCAGTTGACATTTATGAATAAATTAATTTACATACTAGTATTTTTAGTTTTGTATCATACATGTATAAATTAAATTAGTTAATTTACCTTTCCAATAGCAGACATACTGCCGTTGTACTTTAGGAAATTAATTTTGAAAGATTATTTAACTAGCCGGAGTAAGAACGCTAGTGCAACGCACTAATTAATAAAGGATTTAGAAACAATCGCTTTTTCACTTCGTACACACGGTGTGAGGAACTTCGTGCTATTTTTAATCTTCTTTATATTGCTCGATGCAAACAAATTAAATAGAATAAATACAAACACAAGTACTGATATCAACTTATAATTTGTTGTTTATATTTAGATAAATGTTAAACACACCATATATAACAAATAATACGTATATAGAGTAGAGAGTAAATAAATGAGATGCCTTTAACGCACAGATAATAAAGATAGTAAACTATGTCTGTGGCGCTGTGGCACATTATGGTGCGTCCCCATTGCACGAATGCGCACGGCGAACCCTGTCTGTTTTGTTTACAACGTGCGCGTGGTTTGCTTTCGTTTGCAGTAATTTAGAGTATACATAAATAAGCATGAATGATTTAAAGTGCGCACATTGCGAACAGATTTGCCGTACGGATTCGTGCAAAAAACAGATAATTTTTTGATGATGATTCCATGCATAGATAAAAGAAGAGTATATGATTCCATAATGTTTCAGGAATTATAATTTTATAGACTTTATTAACTTTCCGAAGGAGAAGTTTATGTTTTCATCAAAAAGTCTGATTTGCTAATATTATGTTTTTCTTCAAGTCGTTCTGAATCGAATGGGACCAAATTTGGAGAAAGTATGTGTGTGTGTATGTGAACAGATTTTTTATCAACGATTTCTCAAAAACGGCTGGACCGATTTCAAAAATTTAAAAGCCATTCGATGCACCTCGATGAGGACTAGCGTTTATCACTTTTGTGTCGATCGGCCGTGCCGTTTTTTTATAAATAGCAGAGAAGTGAAAAAAAATTTCGTCCACGTTTTAGCCCGCAATTCTGAATCGATTTTGAAAATTCAAAAACCGTTTGAAAGATATTGGTTGGTAAAGTGTTAAACTTTTCGTCCACATTTAAGCTCATACTACCGAATCGACTTTAAAAAATCACAAATTGTTTGAAAGATATTAGTTGGAAATGATACTGATTAGTTTTAAGTGAAAATATACCAAGCGTTTTCTTGTAATTAACTGTTGAAAAAAAATTAGACCGATTTGTATGAAACTTTTTTGGCGATATATATCATAGTCTTATAGAACTTACTGAAATATTATGGCCTTACGACAAGTAGTTTAATATTAAAAATTTATCAAAGTTTGAGAAAATGAAAATGTTTGAGTTTTTTTGACGTTTGTTAAAATAAAATTAGACGATTTACTTGGTATAACGATAAAGTACTTAGTCTTGATGAACCTACTAAACCATTAAACTCCTACGGAAACTGGTTCAATTATAAAAATTATTGATTTGTGAACATTTGCTATTAGAAAATACTCCGATTTTAAGTCCACTCGAAATACTTTTAATTACTCATAAAACTAATTTATTTATCATGAATTTAGTCTATTATTTACACATATCGGAATGTTCATTTATCTATGTATGTGGTCACCACGTTGAATACTTGTTTATCTATGGTGGTGACAATTGTTAGGTACGTGTTGAACTGTTGAACTAACACTTTGAAAACAATTCGAGAAGCACGTTTTGATATGACATTAACATAACCTTTAATGTGATCGCGTAAAATTGGTTAATGACAAAAATTGTTTGTTATTTATATACGTAATTTATTACATTTATCTTAAAATAAATTTACACTTAAAAATGATAGGATCACGGTTTGAAAATAGCGATATATCTGCCAAAAATCTACACGGTATTTATGATCATAATTAAGTGCCAACAATGATGTACTTTTACATTCAAATTAAATATTTTTATAATCATTAGATGAAGATGAAAGCGCATCCGAAATAGAAGAGAACAGTGAATCTGAAGCTGAAAACTTAAGTGAAGATGATGGTAATGCAGAGAAAAAACGCTCAAAAAATGAGGGTTGGGCTGACTCTATGGCAAAAATATTAAAGTCAAATAAACCAAAAGGAAAAAGTACAATAGTATTAGCTAAAGCTAAAAAAATCTGTGAAGTTATACCGAAAGCAACTGTTGACTATAATTTCGAAATCGTAAATGAAATTAAAGAAGAGAAACCAGATATCAAAGGTTTACATAAAATTGAAAACAAAGACCAAAAAAAGAAGGTATTTGATTTTAAAATGATATAGTTGTAATTAATTTTGACTAAATGACATCTATTTTGTTTAAAGAAAAAGGATATTATTCAATTTAGGATAAAACCATCAATATTGGACAAAGATAGAGAAAGAACTTTATCCAAAATTGCAACAAGAGGTGTAGTTCAATTATTTAACGCAGTGAGGACACAGCAAAGGGATATTAGTAACAAATTAAAAGAAGCAGGACCTTTAGAAAGAAAGCAAGATAAAGTACGTATTTGTGTAAAGAATATGCCCCATGCCACCAGATTATTGTGATTGTCATATTTATATTACATACCGTCAATACTCAATTTCTTCTTATACTTACTCATTATGACGATAATCGATTGCATAAGTTAAAGTAATAAAGCAAATCTACCCAAATTGTTTGGTGCATATTGGTAACTAAGAAAATAATTCTGTATTTTTCTTTTTAAGGTGTTAAAAAATATAGATAAAAGGGCATTTCTTGATGTACTTATGGGTGGAAAAAGATCAATATCTCAGCAAGTAGATGGACCAGTTAAAACAGAAAAGCAAATTGACTCCAAATGGAATGTCCTGAGGTAAATATAGATATCAATTATTTCCTTTTCTGTTTTCTATGTGTTAATTATTTTATTATACAGGGACGATTTCATGTTAGAATCTAAATTAAAAGACTGGGATAAGGAAGATGATTCTGAAGAAAATGATGAAACCATATAATTGTTGAAAAATATTTTTGTATCACATAATTAACATTTACATTTTAAAATTGGCATTTTTTTATTCCAATACATAAAAATAAGTCCTATAATCAAAAAGATATTGCTCAGACACTTTGAATACAAAAATGGCTATTATTCAAGTTTACAATATTTGTAATAAATTATTTTATACAAATAATGATCACATGAATCACTATTACAGCATCATTTTATTAACAAATCCTAAAAATAAACCATACTAACACTTGCATATATGCAGTTTTTGACAAATTCAAAACATTAGAAATTCATCTTTATATTCAGTAATAACATTCACACAAAACATATATAATACAATAAATTACATTTGATTATTGTTAACCTTAAATGAATATCATTTAAATAAAAATTCATCAAGGGATGAATTCCTCATACTCTACTGGTTCAGTAAAAATAACACAAGTGCTGCGCAATACAATTAAATCAATTTGCAGGCAAATTTACATAGGAATGAGATTTATAACAATTTCAAGTTAATCACCTAACTAATAAGGTACCCTGATATTGCCTATGAACAACAAGTGCATGGACAACTACAAATCACAATCTAATTTAAATTCAATATTTCTTCAATATTCTTGCAGTATTCTAAGAGATCTTCTTACAGGGACTAAAAGAAAATATTATTCAATGTAGTAGTTGAAATTTCTTATTGTGAGGAATTTGGCAATTAGTTAATAAAAAACTATTAATTACTTAACAGATTTTTATTAGGGAGGTATTCAGGTCGAGTTTTTAAAAAAATATTCAATATTATGTGTACAGAAGAAATTTTTAACCTTCCAATTTTTTTTGAAAATATAGCGGTTAGACTTCTTTCTTCTGTCTTTTTTTTTTCAAAACAGTCTCTCGATTTCAATCCATAATTTCTCAACTTTTATTGAACCGATTTACTTAAAATTTTTACAGTGCCTTCTTTATAAATTTTTCTTTGTGCTTATTAAAATTTTGATTATATTTGATTTTTATTTTTTGACTAATTCTCAAAACGTTAATCAATCATTTGTAATAAGAAGTAAATCAAAAACAATGTTTCACTTTTCAAAAATCTTAAAAAGTTCATGCCTCTTCTCTCTCTATGCCAAAATACCCCCTTAATCAAAAACAAAGCTAGAAAGTAATTCTAAGAATATGATTTGAATTTTTTAATTATCTAAGTAATTCATAATTAAAAAAATACAACTAGCATAAAACAGTATATTCAACCTTCTTCAAATTATTCTCCTGCATCAAAGACTTTATGCTTTATACAAATATTTAAATAATGGGGCCGTTCAAGTATTACGTAAGCACTATAGGGGGACGGGAAGGTTATTGATTTGCTTATTTTGCTTATTTTTGGTAAGAAATTTGCTTACTTTTTGCTGACAAAGGGGTGGGGGGGGTAAATAATTGTAATAAATCTGCTTACGTAATACTTGAACGATCCCAATAATAAAATATATGTGTTAAGTAATAAATATAATAATCCACGTCCTTACATTTTAATCCTAAATTTATAATAAACAATTATTAAATATATCAGATATATCAGAATGAATAAATTTATAACATTACCTGAACAAATTCATCAGGAATCATTATCCGGACTGTTGGAAGTGTAGCCGCTTAACATGAATTTTTGGTCTGTGAAACTTCGCTCCTTTAGGTTTTCGCTTAAATTACAAACAGAATTAATGATTTATTCATAAATTGATTTTAAAAAATACAGTCAAATTTAAAAAATACCTTTTTCTTGGCAGCAATGTAGGCTTTTCTCCCGAACTGTTGCCACTGCTACCCTAGGTAAAACAAAACCACTGATACAATGCACATTAGATTAGGTATGAATAGAATCTATCTTAATTCTACTTACAGAAGTATAAATACTATGAATAAACATATTGAACAATATCAGGTTGTAGTGAATTTCTAATGATTTAACAAAACAAATAGATCATTATCGCGTTCTTAATATCGGTTTTATGAACACTAATATTTAGATATTCGTAGATAAAAATAGTCAGTTTATTTGTCTTTTAAACCAATAATGCAATGATACTCCGACATACAAGTTTAATTCGCTGTGTAACCACGCGATCTCGAAACAATTGCTTCCATATAAATACATTGAAGTACCATTACAGTAGAAACTCAATAAACGGACTAATTGCTATGAAGAATAACGTAGTGTATTTGTTAAAAATAACAAATATATACATAGATCTGAACGAAAATAATGTTTATTAAGAAATTAAAACTTCTTTATGTATGTACAAATATATTTTCTTAAATTACATTACAAGCATATACTAAACTACAGCATAAATCATGCAAATATTCGATTTATAGGTATGTACATACCAGTACATACATAGAAATTAATCGCGCTTGGTAGTCCGGATAATCGCGAATCCGTATAACCGAGGTTCTACTGATATCATTCCAGCACTGTGGAGTTACTTGAATATTAAAAATAAATTTACTATTTATTAATTCAATCATTGTTTATTAACTTCCCGTAGGGTAAGTTATAGCAGTTTCTGAATAATTTTTACGGATGTATGTGTGTGTCTGTGTATGTGGGCGGATACAAGATTTCGTCGAACATTTTCGGGAACAATGATCAAATGATTTGAATAATTCAAAAACCATTCGATTCGTATTGATAAGGAGACGTGCTGATTAGTTTTTGGCGAAGGCAGATCGAACATTTTTCGAGAAAACTCTTACTCGCTCAAATCTCGTATCTTGTAGTTCGAAGCAACGAATCGCTTCTTTGCTGGTTCTTGAATTAAAGCCAGAAATTATTGAACAATATGAGGATGGCTAGGCGTGCGAGCATAACAAATTATATATTAGGTACAGTATTTAAACAGAAGGGATTGATAAAAAGTATTACTCCAGCTAAGGGCCTTACAATAATTTATTAGCAGCTTTTTGGACTCTAAAATTTTTCTGGATAAAAATCTCCTCGAAAAAGTTTCCATAGTTTGAGCATGGAGTTCTTCAACAGAATTAAACTTGTATGTTGAGATACCCCGATATTGGAAAATTGGGAAACACAACGTGCTATATTTTTTTATTTATTCACAGAATTTTGTTGCAACATGTTTTCATATACACGTACCAGCTTGAGGCATAGTAGTGTCAGGACAACTATTTTATATAACTAACTAGGAAACCCGACGAACTCCGTTTCGCCACCAGATGGTTTTGTGAGAAAGATGAAGAAATTTTTTGTTTGTTTTATATTTGAAAAGGGAAAATTTGATCGACTTATTTTTATATATATAGAAGAGAATCTATTTGCAATTATTTAAAACAATTGCAATTATTGATTATTTTTAATACTCGAATTTTTAATTACGGTGCGTGAAGTTCCAGCAATTTGCATTAGGGCACGATGCCATGCACCACTAATTTTCTTAGCTATAAACCTTGCGGAGCCCGAGACCTTTCCAACGAATGCAAAATTGTCGAAATCGGTTCGTGCGTTCTGGAGTTATTTCGTCAGGAAGGAAAACATGATTTATTTTTATATATATAGAATTTGTTGTTCAACTGTAGGCATTTTCCATGAATTTTATCGGGTTAACAAAATAATATTATTGTAAATAATAAAATAAGTTCTCATACAACAACTGGATGAGTAAAGCAATGTCATGAATAAAAGATAATGGCTTATCTAATGATAAGTAAAGTCATCCATAAAAACGATTATTGTAGATGATAATATAACCTCATTGTTTTTTATTTATTAGGTTGTATAACTTATTAGATGATTTTCATTGCATTTCATTTTTCTTGGTTTGGGAAAAAAAAATGAAGACATCGAATGTTTAAATTTTTTTGGAAAATGTATGTTTCCTCAACTATCGATGAGAAAAACAAAGCCATGCCACAAACCTATGGGGACACAAACACACTGAGACATTTTATTACTCCCTCTTTATTACTTCCTAGATGCAAAAAACAAAACAATAATTTAAAATTAAATGATTTTTGGCTTATGCACCAATAAAAGCAAATTTTGCTTGAAGGTGGTTAAAAATTTATATAAAATGTTTAATAAATAATAATCAAATATTAATTTAAAAAAGCATATAAGAATATTCAATTTCTGATGTCAATTTTCTCACTGTTCTCGAGTGTGATGCATAAACATATAAATTATTATATTTTCATAAATACAAACAGCTTTAAGAGCAAATAATGTTCGCGTATCTTCATGTGAAAAACTAAAAACAATAAATAACAATAAAAAGTCTTCGTATATCAGTAATCCATAATTTATTTTCAAACAATATTTGCACAGTACATATTGTATTTAAAAAAAATGCTGTATGTATTAATGACCATATTTATATATTTATGTATATTTATAGACTAAACAAAATAAAAACAATTGTTGAATTCAAGTACTTTAAAATTGTCTAAATACTCACGGCAGCATCTATGTGTCCAGTTTTTTCCAATAATTCGGCGACATGCTGTTCATAGTGTTTACATTCATCCATTGTTGTAAGACCATTTCTTCTATATCGAACTAGTTCAAATAATCTGAACCGTAACTGTTGTTCTTTTGCAAGTCCATCAATGAATTGCTCATATTCATTAGCCGTATAGAATTGACAGAAAGATCTAAATTGTTCAGATAACTCTCTACAAATATATTTATAAAATAAGATTTGCTAAACAGCATACTTTAAGTATTAACAATTTACTACGAATTCAAAATAAAGTCAAATCTTATATATATATATATATATATATATATATATATATATATATAAAAGTCTAGTAATCGGGCATAACATCAATAAAAACATGAATTTCTTTCAAAAATTTATTTTAAATCCATACGTTTCAGCTATAATCCTAGCCTTCATTCAGTGGAAACTAAAAATAACATTAAAAACTAAAAACAATTGAATTGGAGTGAAAAAAAAATTAAATAGTAAATAGTACTTACAATTAGTTAATCTTAGTGTTAAATTGGAAAATTTTAATAATCTATGGTATCAGGATATGGTAATGCACTACACTATGTATCATATAAACATTAAACTTGTAATTACACAATATTTTCACAAAATACTAATTTTAAAAATCACAATTGGATAATGTGTTGTTCATAGACTGGTTGAAGATATAAGGAGAAGGACTTTTTAAAAAATATTTTTTGTGAGAAATTTGGAAATACTATCTAAATAAAAGAGATTTGTATCGCACAGCGTGTTAAGTTCACTCCGTTTATTTATTATTTTATTGCTATAAATAGTTAAAAAAGATCCTTCTATAATTCTTTGTTTGAATAAATTTTGTTCGAATTGTAGTACAGTCAGGTTAGAAAAGTCCATATTGTGTTTTAAAGTATAAATATTTGTTAAATATAAATTGTTTTTATGTTGTTGTAAACGTTTCATTAAGTTCTGGCTTGTTTCTCCTATGTAAATTAAATTACAATCTAGACAATTAATTTGATAGACGAGATTTCTAAGTCGATCAATATTAAAAGGGGTTTTTGTTTTGGTAAAAATAGTACTAGTCATTGTACTAAAATTGTTTACAAGTCGGAGTCCAGATTTATAAAAAAGTTTTATCCAAGAAACATACAATTCTTTAATGTATGGCAAACATATTTTTCACTCCAATTCAAATGTTTTTAGCTTGTAATTTTATTTTTAGTTTCCACTGAATGAAGGGTAGGATTATAGCCAAAACGTATGGATTTAAAATAAATTTTTGAAAGAAATTCATGTTTTTATTGATGTTATGCCCGATTACTAGACTGTTAATATATATATATATATATATATATATATATATATATATATATTAGGGTGGTCCTTAAAATGGTCATTTTTGAATTTCCTTGCTCCCAGGGGCTCAAATGGTTCCAAATTGATAAAAAACAATTCTCTGAAAGTTTTAGCTCTTAATATTAACGTTTAGATAGAGCGCAATTCAATCAAACCTCGTATGGAAAGAGCATGGAAAAATTTTTGAAAATTAAAAAAAATGCTTTAGGTATAACTTAGCGACAAATGAATGAGTTTTATTCATTCATTTGTTCGCTAAATTACATCTAAAAAACATTTTTTAAATTTTTGAAAAATTTTCCATTTTCCATTTCCATACAAAACTTTGATTGAATTGCGCTCTATCTAAACGTTAATATTAAGAGCTAAAACTTTCAGAGAATTGTTTTTTATCTATTTGGAACTATTTGAGCCCCTGGGAGCATGGAAATTCGAAAATGACCATTTTAAGGACCACCCTAATATATATATATATATATATATATATATATATATATTATAGAATTTTATGATATGAGTGGAACGAATATTAATTGTTTAATATGAACAAAACAGCACTCAGATTTGTTTAACACAACTTTATTTTATGATTACAGACGTTTCGAGACTATGGTGTGTCTCATCTTCAGTGTAATTTCAAAAACAGTTACTTATATACTACACATTCTTTAATAACTTATTTAAATTTCATTTAATTTTTAAAAGACTGTGTCAAGCATTGCAAGAAATAGTTGGTGTTTTTTGTATATCAAAAATTAAATGAAATTTAAATAAGTTATTAAAGAATGTGTAGTATATAAGTAACTGTTTTTGAAATTACACTGAAGATGAGACACACCATAGTCTCGAAACGTCTGTAATCATAAAATAAAGTTGTGTTAAACAAATCTGAGTGCTGTTTTGTTCATATTAAACAATTAATATATATATATATATATTAAAGCGGGGGTGTTGAGTTGGGCAATAGCGTTTTTACCTGTGCAATGTGCAACATTTTTTAAAAAATCGTTGTAAACAGAATTAATTCAGTGTTCAGTTTTACAACAACTATGTACACAAATCTCGTCTCTTAACTCAAATCCATAATTAGTTTTAAATGTTTGAACTATTGACAGCTTGGTGTTACAATTGTGTTAATTATTGTAGTGTAGTGTTAAATTGTCCAATTTGTTAACATCTATTTTTTTTTTCTAAATTAATTATAAAAAACTTTCCAGTTTTTCACTTCATGATGGTCTCGATGAAGACTGAAATGTATAGATTAATATAGCTGATTTCCTAATTGCTTTAGTTTTACATTTTACTTGGTGCTATTGCTCCGCTCAACACACTCATTTTAATATATATCAAGACCAAATTCACATACTACACACACACACACACACACACACACACACACACACACATATATATATATATATATATATATATATATATATATATTTACAATAGAATTCGCTTAGCATAACGCCGGATATATTGACCAACCGCCTATTATGACTTACTACAAAGTTTGGTTTTCATATAAATTTTTTTATGAAGCAGGCGGACATAATGGCTTACCTTACATTCAAATGTTAGCTTATCATGACCCATTATTTAAAAAAAAATATGCCCAGTTACAATAACCGAGAAAAAGCTGCAAAGATTTTTAAGAAAAACAAAGATGATTAACCATTTTGCCCTGTGCTAATTACTACTGCCCCCTTTAAAACTGTTTTTCACCACCTAGTTCTGTTTTTGTAGTTCAATATTTAATTTATTGTTCTTATAATTACCGCCCGATGATCTGGAATTTTCGACAATTGTTTTTCCAGAATGTTTTGTATGACGCCCGCTCATTATTACGATTTTTTGGTGTCAGTTCGATGTCACACTAAGTGGATTCTACTGTACTTTCTCATATATTGAAGTTTAATACAATACTTTACATATTTAAATATGATAATCAAATATAAACAAAATGTTATCAAAAAACTGAAGCAATATTAAAATCACAAAAGTTACATTAATCCATAAAAAAGTACCTACATATTTAAAATAACAAAATATATTTTTCAGACATAAATTATTCTTACTTATGCTCTTTACTAATCTTCTGACGTTTTTGTTCCGGCCTAAAATATTTTGCGACTAATTGATAATCTCGTACCATTCTTTCTCTCCGCTCACGTTCCCTCCTTCGCCTTGCATTCATATCAGCTATGGATAACTTTAAAGCTGAAAATATAGATTTTCTGAAGATTTTTCGTACACCATTTCATATATTATATATATATATATATATATATATATATATATAAATAAAGATAAATATTAATTGTCATTAGGTTAATCTTAGAGTTGTTCATAAACATAACTGATATTAGTTTAGTTATATTATAGTATAATTGTATTGACTTAAATTGAATTTGAATAAAATATCTATCTATCTATATATACATATCACTCATTTATGACATCTTTGTTTAAAAGCAAATAGGAATTTAATACGTTTATGACAATTCCAATTTTGGAAATATATAATATACATACTAAAAATGTAATACAGTGGTACCTTGACTTATGAGTAACCTGAGTGTTTTGAGATTCTAGTAAGCATTTTCAATCAAAATATTAATGCCAAAGTGAAATAGTAAAATTTTTGTCAGCTGTAACTATGGTTATCCTAACATAGAAATATTTTGACTGTTTTATGATAGTAAATTATTTTATAGATAGTCATCTTAATCATATCAATATTAACTGTGTAGTAACGATTTACCCACAGAAATATATCATTTTAATTGTACATTAATAGTGACTGTACAGGTATATATGTTGAGTTCGCATTGTTTGTACGTTAAAAAATATTATTTACATTTACGACCTTGAATCAAAGTGCGAAAATATTGAAAAAGATCAGGATGGCAACGATGTACGTGCGTAACAAATCATAAATATGTTGTGTGTTTGAACAGAAGAAGTTGATAAAGCGCATAACTCCAGCTAAGGTCTTTAAAAAATTTATAGGTAGCCATCTCATCTCTAAAAATCAACCCAAAAAAAATGTCTAACAATGATTAAATTAATAAAGAGTAGATTTAATGTTGAAATTGAAAAAACTTAACTGAAACCACAGTACAATATAATAGTTGAAAAATTTAAGTTAAGAATAATCTCAGCTTAAAAGGGTATCATAAATTATATTTACTTATTACTGTCCTTTATTTTATACTATATTTTATTTATATACTCAATGTTACTAGAGTTGTTATTTAGCAGTTGTAACACAAATTGAAATTAAAACAAAAAAAATCTTCACTTAGGTTTTTTTTGACAAAATATATTACCTCGATCAAAATTACTATGTTCAGTAATAATACTTGAAGCTATTGATATCAGCTCATCTGCCTCTGCATCATAAACCTGTAAAACACCATTTAAATTTGGATACTTTAAATTACTATTTTGATACAAACTATCAATGTCATCAGGATTTCAACTTACACTTTGAAAATCGTCTCTTTTAGGCAGGTACTCGAGTTGAATTGCTTCTTCTGTAGTAATATCTAACGGTTCCAGTTTTGGCGTTATTTCATCACCATCTCCAGAATCTGGAGTATGTTTCGTAATAATTTCACTAGTTGAGACGGCTTTACCCCAAGTCAGTCTTCCGATAACTCCAGTAACAAATTTATTTATGTATTCATCTTTGGCAGCTGAAATTATTTGACAAATAATATTAGTATAGTGTATCCCAATTATAGGCATTTTTTTTTTAAATTATTATATATAAACAAGGGTGGAATAAAAAGTTTTCGTCCTGGTATCATAAAATAAGATTGTGCTAAGTAGTTCATATGGTTTTAAATACATATTTTCTTATAGAACATATTATGATAAGTTTGATATGAGGACACTAAATAAATTGGTGTCCCCATATTAAACCAATTTGGCCAATTTTATGGTGTTAAGTTCGATAATTGCTACTATTAATTTTTACCTGCAGCCAGTCCCTTAATCAGGGGTTTCTGACAATTAGAAATAATATTTACAGTTTGTAACTATAAAAACTTTTATTTTAACATGTTCGCGGATAGAAAAAGTTTCAGCATAAAAATGATCAATAAAATGATCTATTTATTTTTTAATTAGTTGTAATATCCGAAATTTGATTATTATGTTTATAAGAGTTTATAAGGTTTTAAACCGCTTTTTATATGGCATGAATATTTTACAATAGTAATTTTGAGCCTGAAATTATGTCAAATTACATCAGAATCTGGGACAAGCAACATAATGGTTCTTCATAAAAAGGGAAGAATAGTGAAGTGGTCATTAGATATTGCTAGTTCAAAGTTAAGACATAAACAACGTACAAAGTTAAGACATAACAAAAAAAAAATATTTATAAACCTAGTCAGTGGTTTGCGGTGAAAGAACTAATATGAGAACGATTAACAAATTAATAAAAGAAAGATGCCAAAAATATTATGATAAACTACGAGGTCACCCAAATCACTATTCAAATTAAGTAAACTAAGTATTGCTGACACATAGACTGAAAAGAAAATGGCCATACAATTTAAAGTAAAAAGTAAATAAAAAAAAAGTATTTCATTAGAGATAAATAACTCGAAACCGTAAAGACTTACACATTTAAAAAGATAATGTTTAGGCTGATTGACTATTTAAATATATCTATACCGGAAAAAAAATTATAAATCTAAGTACTGGGAGTAGAGAACAAAGTGTGAATACTTCTATGAATATGTTTTACATTAATTATTGCTTAAGAAGGTTATGTCATAAAAATTTGCTAAATAATTTTGACACATTTGATAAATCATGATAAATTCAAAAACCGCACATAAAGATAAATTTATCAAGAATTACAACAAAAATTATAGTTTAAATTCAGTATAATAAATTATTCATTATTTTCTTTTGACTATTTTTACAGAATAGTTTGAAGTTAATGAACATCTAGGATTTTAGTACATTACATTTTCTGCATTTTATGAATCTGTACCTTTAAAATATATATACAGCTACTTAATTGATACATGTTGTACAAAATATATGTCTATTTATTAATACATATATTCAAATTGAATGTTTACATTATCAAAAAATACACTTTTATTTCAACATATTTAGCTAAAGATGCAATTGAATATAGGAAGACAAGTGATTCAATTAAAATCTTGCTCTGGTTATCATCATCTTTAGAACATTTATTTACAATAAAGTTATTTCAGTCTAGTCATTTTCAAGTTTCCATTTTTATAAATATATATATATATATATATATATATATATATTATATATATAGATAATTAGTTAGATTTTAGTTAGAATTTATTGATATTAGATAATTAATATCAATAATTTTTTTTTTATTGAAATAGCTCTTAATTATCTGTTTACCTTCTGGTGTTCTCGTTTCTACATGTTTAGCAATATCTTCCCAGTTACCAAACCCATAATGTTCAACAGCATCCAAAAGCCACATAATTTCCATGTTTGACCAAGCGCCTTTGCCTCGGAAAACATTTAATGTTGGTTCCTAAAAAAACATTATTATTTAAAATCAAGTCAAAATAAATTTCTTATAAATTTTACTATATTTACCATAAGCTGATAGTCGTGATCATTTTTATGCGGACCGATCTCCGCTCCAGCGGCAAAACACTGTAAAAGAAATATTATGAAATGTAATTTTTGAATTTCGCGCTGTGTTTAAAGTGACATGATACACACCTGCAAGCAGAGTTCGATATCTTGACATATGGCACAGTGAACTCGAACACCCGATATTTCATCTTCGCAATAAGTACAAGAAATCTTCTGATTTAAATCTGTCAACAAAATTAATTGTTTATGAAAATAATCATTGGCATAAGGCATATACAAAAACGAAAGGTACATACCCGCCATCTTTGATTGAGAATGTTATGTGGCTACCATTACAGAAGAGGGCATTTCCTTTAATTCATTGCAAATTTTGAATAGCCCTTGAAATTTATCGTCATTATATATATATATCCCTCTCGTCCACAATGATCATAGCATGTTCACCATATTATAAGTTACCTTCCGTTTAGAAAAAAGACGTTTATGTTAATTTTTATTTTTCACTTCTTAATGAGAACATAGTTACACCGCCATTATGGTTTTTACTATTATCATTCTAACTCGTGACTGGCAACACACAAGTTTTTCAAATTGTTTTATTTTTATTTATGTTTCACAAATTTGAATTATTTATGCAGCTGCTATGTAAATGACACCTATGCTTTATAAATTTTGAGTTTCTGAAATCATACATACATTTAAAGAGAACACGTTTTACTTAGTCTGGTAACACTAAAGTAAATGTGGTTGAAATCGTTCAAATGCTGAAAACTGAAAATGTACATGTTTAGAATTTGGGAACAATCAGGAAAATACCATAACCCCTAGACAATTACTTTTTACTACTCCAGTTAAAATAGACGCGAACCTTCATAATCATATAAATATTTTAATTTCGGTCTCGCACACTGAGCAACATCATCTAAAACTTACAATTCTAAACAAAATCATTGTAATGTTATATAATTCTTACTATCAATGAATTACTTTTTTATTGAAATACTATTTTATTTAATCACATAATTAAAATAAACACATTTGCATTGTTTACAATGATGCATAGTTGTGAATGTTATATGTGGAATATTTAACAAAGAAATCATTTTGATAATTTACAATTTGTATTAAGTTAAAAATATACTTATAATATATTTATTTACATTAGTTTTGAATATTTTTTATGAATAACATTCAATTGAGCTATAAATCATGCCAGAATTATTTGACAAAATAAAAACCAGAGAAATTTGAAATAAAAGAATAAAATAAATCTATTACATTATCACAAACATTATTTGACATTGATTGTTAAATTTTGCATCTCTAAATATTCTCTTTATTTTTGGGTCATCTAATAATATTGTGATAATGTATCATAATAAACCACTATTTTGAACAAAAAAAATTACATGGGTAAATATAAAATGAAATAAATCATATCTTACATTTAAAATATGCACAAATATAAATAGAAAAAAAATCTATTATATGCTATCACATAATTTCATACTTTATGTGCACCTTACGATAACTGCTTATAATTATTTATATATATGTAAAAAAAAACTTTACAAACCATCTATAAATCAATATTCTTAATTTTTAAAAATTTAGTCATTTGTAAGATTAAGAACCAAGTTTAGGATTCCTATCACACATTAATTTTGTTCATTCTGCATTAGAAATATTTCTTTCACAACTCAAAAATGAATTTATATCACTTCCATCAGCAATTGTTGATTTGGCATTATTACCTATTTTCTCTTCAACATTTATGCTCTCAATATTCTGGTTCATCTCTTCTAAACCAATAACGCATTCTAGTTTCTTTAAAGCTTGTTCAGTAGCATCTGCAATGTTAGAATGCTTGTTACCAATAATAGTATCAGTTTCCAAACCAGTAGTCCTATTGTTTAAAATTGATTCATTAATTTCTAATGTCATTGAGTTTTCATGAACGCCTAAAATTTTATTATTCAAATGGCTATCAACTGCCCCCATGTTAGATCGAATATTTGTTTCCATTTGCACAATATCTTTATTGTGATTATTGATTTCACTTAATACTGTTTCTGGTTCAGTATCATTTGACGGATATGCCTCAATATTATTATAATCGTCACCAGTATTAACATTAATTATACCTTGGTCATCATTTTTTTCTTTCTGATTAGTGGAATCATCCTTGTCTATTGTTTGTACCTGGTTTCCAACCTCATTATCAGAAGTAACTTCACTAATAATCCCAACATCACTTGTTACACTATTGACATTTGAAGTATCATCTTGCATGTCAATATTAGTATTGTCATCATGAGTAATAACCGCATTGTTTGACTGTTCAGTTGTGTCAGATATTATGCTGTTATCACCAGCATGTTCCAGATTTTCACTATTATGAAGTTCTATTTGTTCATTTGCAATATCTTCAGGAATTTCTGAAACTTGTTCTTGTTCTTTAAGTGTTTGCTCTTTAACGTTTGAGATGGCATTTACCAATATGTTACAAGTAGTTTCTTCATTCGTTGATTTTTGTGATTCAGGCTCTATTTCACTTAACTGTGTAACATTATCTTCAGATGAAATCTTATCAGCTTGAATGGTATCATTTGTATTTTCAATGGCTGGGTTTTCTGAAGGTGGTTTTGACATCTCATTATCTTGAACTGCAGCATTTTGTTGCGAGTTTTCATTTTTAGGTAGCTCATTCTCAACACAAATTAGTTCACTCTTTCTACTCTCTGTAGATGGCTTATCTCCAACTGAATTTATAGTTGTTGGTTGTGGATCTGATATAATTTTACAATCATCATCATCAGAGTCTGAGTCAATTGTTTGAATTACATTAGGATCTATATTGGGTGTCTTGATTATTTGTCTCACTTTTGGTTTCACTTTAAAGACATTTGTACTCTTATGAAACTTGAATTTAGCAACTGATACAATAGAATCCATATTTAGTTTTCTGTCAGTCTCAAACTTTTTAAAAATATCTTTGAACTCCTCTCGATTCTGCTGACCGATTTCTGCAGCTGAAAGCTTTTTGCGAGGCGGGTCAGCTTTAATGATTGAAGAAGCTGACTGCAAATTTGTTCCTTCTGAAGATTGGCCTTCAAGAGACTTGCACAAAGTATCAGTCCATTCTGATAGATGAGTGTTAAGCTCAGATTGATTACTTTTTAATTTACCAATTAATGCAGATATGAAAAATGAAAGCTGCACGTGCATATTTTTTACTTCATCATAACTGCAATTTTGAACTTTTTGAGCTTTAGTCTGCAAATCAAGCAACTGTGATACAAAATTGTACGCAATTACCAGACAGCTCTGTGTATTTGCATGAAACCATTCAGGTAAT